GGACCCCCGACCTGTGATTTCACTATCACCCGTTGGTGGACCACTTCGCTGGGACCGTCGTGTCATCCCGAGCCGTCTTTGGACGGCCCCACGGCCCAGCACCCCTGATGGCGAACACCCGTCCGCGGAGGGAGCGAGGAGGAGGAGGAGGAGGAGGAGGAGGAGGAGGAGGAGGAGGAGGAGGAGGAGGAGGAGGAGGAGGAGGAGGGGAGGTCAGGGCCCCTGGCGTGTCGCGTGCCGGCAAACATGATGCAACGTACGCCGATCCTGGCCAGGCCAATCCCGGGCCAAGAATCAGTGTGCAGGTGCCTCTCTGGCGAAGCCAGGAGGGCGTATGCACCGATCCTGGGCCCAGGATCCAGGCATCGCGCGGACGCGTGCATGCGCTCTTGCTCCGGCGAGGACCCTCGGGGCGCATCCTGGATCGCCTCGCGAAGACTGGGCGCGCGAGGCAGAAACATCATGCACGGGGAACGGACGCCCGAGCGACAGCAACGGGAGGGGCCTGGCCAGCATCGCTGCAGAAGCGCACAGTCCGCTCTCCTCTGGCGTGGCCTCGTCCTGCATGCAGGAAGAGGGCCACCACTCCAGAGGAGGAGGAGGAGGAGGAGGAGGAGGAGGAGGGAGGAGGAGGAAGAGGAGGAAGGGGAGGGTGCGCCCCTCGCCCTCGGCCTCCTCGCACCCCGCGCCGCCGCCGAGGATCCGCACACGCTGCGCTTGCCCGCGACGCGCCCGGCGACCCGTCCGAGCTCGAGGACGCGTCCCTCCTCCTCCTCCTCCTCCTCCTCCTCCTCCTCCTCCTCCTCCGCCTCTCCTCCATCCTCCTCCTCCTCCTCCCCCTTCCTTCCTCCCCTCCTCCTCCTCCTCCTCATTCCTGCCTCCTACTCCCTCCTCCTCCTCCTCCCTCCTCCTCTCCTCCTCCTCCACTCCTCCTCCATCCGCCTCCTCTATCGCGCCGCGCCGCGCCCGCCTCCTCCTCCTCCTCCCCCCCCCTCCCCTCTCCTCCTCCTCCTCCTCCTCCTCCTCCTCCTCCTCCCTCCTCCTCCTGCTCCTCCTACTCCCTCCTCCTCCTCCTCCTCCTCCTCCTCCTCCTCCTCCTCCTCCTCCTCCTCCTCCTCCTCCTCCTCCTCCTCTGCCTCCATCCGCCTCCTCCATCCGCCTCCGCGCCCGCATCCGCCTCCGTCCGGCGACGCGCCAGGGTTAACTCGGGTCAGGGATAACTCGGGTTCGTTTTTCGGGAATCTAAGCCCGAGTTAGCCCGGACCCGAGTTACCCCGGATAACTCGGGCGTCCAGAGCCCCGAATCATCAGGGGTAACTCGGGTCAGGGATAACTCGGGTTCCTTTTTCGGGAATCCAGACCCGAGTTACCCCGGACCCGAGTTACCCCGGATAACTCGGTTGCCCAACGTCCTCTCTCCGGGGGAACGAAGAATGACCTAAGCATAGAAACTCGGAGGTCCGCGCGGGTTTCTCGGATCGGCGCTGGGGCCCCCTGGCGGTGCCTCCGGGGAGGGGGGTCCAGCGCCGATCCGAGAAGTCCGCGCGAGCCTCCGAGTTTCTATGTTTATGTCATTCTCCGTTCCCCTACTCTCCCCCCCCTCCCTTGCCGCTGGTTGTCGCCGATCCTTGGGCGGGCGTATAACTGGGGAGGGGGGGAGAGGGCAGGGGCAAATCACATCCCGTTTCGCGCTAGCGCCGCCTGGGAATGCTCAGGAATGGCTCATTCCCAGACGGCGCCAGCGCGAGAGCTGTGACGTGGCCAGGGGGGGAGGGCGGGGCCAGTCGCGGTCGCTGTCGCGCATCATCTTGCTCAGCATGGGCTCGTGCCCCTCGTGATCCCTGACCCCCGACGTCGTGCTTTTTTATTGTTGCACGTCGACCCCCAGGGGGGCCTGGACCCCTTCCCCGGGACCGGTTTTCCGTCCCGACGGTCCGGGGCCCGGCGAGGACCTTCGGAGGCCGGAAATGGCGCAAAACCTCCCGTCATGATTGTGTTCGTGGCCCGAGGGGGCTTGGGATCGTCGATCTTCGAGCCAGCCTCTCCAGCACGGGGCCCCCCTCCCTTCCGCCCTTCCTCCTCGCGCCCCCAGAGGGTCAGGAGTGTAAAGGACACGGGCACACATGAACGCAAACCTCGAGGAAAGTATCGGAAGTGGAGGCGAAAACGAACATCCATGGAGCATTGGAAAGAGGGGGAGTCCTGGGATCTGTGTCTCCTTGTGTGCGTGTGTGCGCGCGCGTGTGTGTGTGTGTGTGTGTGTGTGTGTGTGTCTGTGTCTGTGTCTGTGTCTGTGTCTGTGTCTGTGTCTGTGTCTGTGTCTGTGTCTGTGTCTGTGTCTGTGTCTGTGTCTGTGTCTGTGTCTGTGTCTGTGTCTGTGTCTGTGTCTGTGTCTGTGTCTGTGTCTGTGTCTGTGTCTGTGTCTGTGCGTGCGTGCGTGCGTGCGCGCGCGTGTGTGTGTGTGTGTTTGTGTGTGTGTGCGTGTGCGTGTGTGCGTGTACGTGCCGCCGGGCGCCTCCACTTTCCTCCTCGTGCATCGTGGCTCAGTTCGCGCTTCGTATGACCTCCTATACTGCCTTATACCGCCTTATCCGAGCCGCCGACGCAAAAGAGAGTGTGTGTGTGTGTGTGTGCGTGCGTGCGTGCGTGCGTGCGTGCGTGCGTGCGTGCGTGTGTGTGTGTGTGTGTGAATGTGTGAATGTGTGTGTGTGTGTGCGTGTGTTTGTGTGTGTGCGTGTGCGTGTGCGCGTGTGTCTGTGAGTGTGTGTGTGTGAGTGTGTGTGTGTGGGTGCGTGTGTCCCGGGGCCACCTTCTGTGGAGCCGAGTGGCTGCCGCCAGCGGGGAGCGGAGGCAGCAGCGCCAGGGCCCGCGGAGCGGGCAGCCTCCTCGCGGCGCCGCGCGCGCCACGCCCGCACGCCGAGCTTCGAAAGACCAGGTTGCCCCAGCAGAGCACGCCAGGACTGAGTCGGCGGCCGCGGCGCTGGCGGCGGACGCGGCTGCAGGAGGGGCGCCCGCGGAGGCTGCAGCTGGGCCGGCGCCAGCGGCCCACGCGGGGGCGAGCGCGCGCGGGCCCGGGGCCCCGCGTGGTTCGCGGCCCCGCGGGCCGTCTACGGCCCGGGACCGCCTGGGCCTGGGCCATGACTGGCCGCGCTGGCCGGGCGGGCGGCGGCGGGGGCGGCGGCGGCAGGTGCAGTAGGAGGAGAACAACAGCAAAAAACTCCTTACAGGAGGGGTATTCAAAAGCAGGCAACAAATAGTCTGGGGGACGGTGCTTCGACTATTCGTGTGGCTATTCTTGAGCATTTTGCGGCCACCTTTCATGTGTCGTCCAAAATCCGCCTGTAGGAGGACATGCCCGACCTAATGTTAGTATCGGGGAAACGTTAGACTCGAGTTCGCCAGAGCTCGGGTTCGCCGACGCTTTCTGGCGAGCCCGTCCTGGACTGGCGTCCCAGTGTTCGTGGGATGGTTGCAGCGGGAGGCCGCGTCAATTTTTGTTGACTGGGTCTCGTCATGTGCCTGACGGCCCCGTCAGGCCAACCCAAGTCCCCCGAACCCGAGTCTCACGTCTCCCCGGTAACATTGCTCCAAAGCGGCCCGAAAATTCCCCGATGGCCCCACGACGGCCCAAGATGCCCCCAGGATTGCCCCAGAGGAGCTCACGACCCACCCCCCTAAGCATTCCAAATCGTGGTCGGGCCGTGCATATGAGCCAGCGGCGGCCCCAAGATGTCCCTAAGACGGCCCGTGCAAATGTGCCAGCGACGGTCCCAAGATGTCCCTCAGACGGCCCGAGAAGGCTCCGACACGGCCCGAGCGCGCTCCAAAACGCCCAAGATGGCATCTCGACGACCCCAAAGGCCCCTGAACCATCCCAAGAAGGTTCAAGAGGACCCCCGAAAGGCCTCAAGACCCAAGCTTCCCCCGGCAGCGCACCCTGATAGCAGGAACGGTAAAGAGGCGGGTCGAGGAGCAGGAAGTCGGCTATAGGGGACAGGGGTGAATTCACAGCCATGTCAAGGGATCGTGGCCGCCTGGACCAAGAACAAGGCCAGCATATGGGCAGGAACACGATTCCTGAATCCATTGCGAGGGCGTCTCAGGCAAAACGGCTGTCGGATAGAACGTCCGCGAGTTCCCCGTCTTCCCTGTGGGACTCTTCTGTGATACTGCTTGTTACGTCGACCTGGCCCCATCTAGCGAGACGCTAACCCCTCGCGCCCCCGTTCCACCCCCCAGCACCTCTCTCGCCTCCGTCCTCTCCCCTCTCGGGGAAACGTAAGACTCGCGTATGCCGAACTTCGGGTTAACCGACGTTTTTCTGACGAGCGCGCCCTGGATTTTGACGGTCCAGTTTTCGTTGGGATGCTTGCAGCGGGAGCCTGCCTCAAGTTTCATACTGGGTCTCGCCATGTTGATGATGGCCCCGTCAGGCCAACCCGAGCCCCCCGTACCCGAGTCCTTGGTATCGCTCGGACGTGTGCATGTTTCTTTCGGCGAGGACCATCGAGGAGCATCCTTGATCATTTTGCGGAAAAAAACCACGCACGAAACCAAAAAAACACAGGGAACGGACGTCCGAGCGATGGCCAGAATCGCACGTCTCCCCAACCCTCCCTTGCCCCTCGCTCCCGCCAGCTCCAGAGCCACCCCCTTAGACACGGCACTGCCGCATCGCGGACGCTGCCGTGCCCGCCCAGACTTGCTCGGCCCTCGGGCCGGCGGCCGCCGACCGCTCACCGCCGCCGAGCCGCCCCGGCGGTCCGAGGAGACGGGTCATGGCAGCGCGGCGAACAGAGCGAGCGCCTGCCCAGCGCGTGCACCTGCCCTGTCCTGAGCTGGGCGCCCGGTGCCGAGGGGACGAGAAGCCCCCCCCCCCCAGAAGGCGCTCGACGGCCTCTGTGCGCTGCCGCCGCGGGCCCAGAGAGTGCCAGAAAGGTGTGCAGCTGCTGCTTCGCCCCCCGCGGATTCCCTTCCCGTGGGCGAGCGCCCGGCCCGAGGACGCGATCTGCTCCGGCATCCCAGTCCAGTGCGGCGCCATCGTGGACGCCGTGTCCGAGGAGTGGGGCAAGGCGAGGGACGGCGTGGACGAGGTGGGCCTGGCTCGCCTGGTTTGCCTGTTTTAGTTGCAGTGTTGAGCGGGCGACTTGTGGCGAGAAGAGGGCGGCAGTGCAGTGCTTGACGACGACAGAACGGCGGCAGCGATCACGGTGGCGGCCACGACGGTTACGATGAGGACGATTTGGGCAATCGGGGCTGAGTTGGCGGGTTCACGTACCACGTATTGCTAGAAGTACCCCTAGTTCAGGTTGCTCCCATGAGTTTTCCAGGGAGGCCGCCACGGACTCCAGAGCAACCCTCACGAGAGAAAAGCTGGGGGCACCTTTGGCCATGGGTACCTTTAGCAACCCCCAAACGTATACCCTCGTCCCCCGCCCCGAGGGTGGCCGACGCATCACTACTCAGCGCGTTTTCCTTGAAAGGGTTGCACAACTTCTGAAAGTATTCGTGTCTACCTCTTCGTGCCGTGCACACTGCAAAACATACACATGCGAGAAGGTGATAGGAATGGACACGAAGTGTGGTTTTCAGGTTAGACGCGAACCTATGTAAATAGAGGCAGGATATGGTATCATACACAGTCACAAGTGCCAATGATTGGCGCAAGAGCAGACACGCCTACTCGACAGACGCGAACTAGACACGAATTAGACACGAATCGACACGAGCACATATCCGAAGACGGGCTTGCGCAAAAGGCAGTATATTATAGACACGGTTGCCGATGCGACTGCATGTGTATACAAACACACGCGCGTGTACGGAAACATACATGTAGCCCTGTTCACATACACACCCACGTGTGAAGGATCCTATGGTATCGGGGGTTTGGTGGAGGAGCACCGATGAGTACGAAGGAACGGGAAGAGTTTGGAGGAGCGCCGCGGAGTGTGATGGAGTGCGGGGGGGTCTGGAGGAGTGAGGAGGACTGCCGAGGAGTGCGATGAAGAGGGGGGGAGTCGGCAGGAGAGAGCCGTGCAGCGCGGTGGAGTGAGAAGGAGTGGCGTGGAGTGCCGTGGGGTGCGATTGAGTGGGCTGGAGTCTGGAGGAGAAGGGGGGGAGCGCCGAGGAGTGCGAAGGAGTGGGGAGGAGCCGGGAGGAGTGCCGACGAGTGAGATGGAACGAAGAGTCCGGAGTAGGAAGGAGAGCCGAGGAGTGGAGTGGGAAGCAGTCCACAGGAGTTCCGAGGGTTACAATGGAGAGGGGAGAAGTCGGGGGGAGTGAGGAGGAGTGTCGAGGAGTGCCATGTAGTGGGGAAGAATCCTGAGGAGTGGGAAGAAGCACCGAGGCATGCGATGGAGTGAAAAGAAATGCCGAGGATCGCGATGGAGTGGGGAGGAATCGGGGGGAGCGCTGACGAGTGTGATCGGGCGGGGAGGAGTCTGGAGGAATGCCGAAGAGCGCCGATGAGTGCGGTGGAGTGGGGAAGAATCCTGAGGAGTGGGAAGAAGCATCGAGGCATGCAATGGAGTGGAAAGAATTGCCGAGGAGCGCGATGGAGTGGGGAGGAATCAGGAGGAGCGCTGACAAGTGCGATCGGGCGGGGAGGAGTCTGAAGGAGTGCCGAAGAGCGCCGATGAGTGCGATGGAGTCGGGAGCAGCCAGGAGAAGTGCCGACGAGTGAGATGGAACGAGGAGTCTGGAGTAGGGAGGTATTGTTGACGCTTCGCGTATCCCCACCAGCCCATCCAGAAACGATGCCCTGGGGAGTTGAGGTGATCAGGGAAGTCGGGGAGCATGCAGAATAACAAAGGGTGGGGGAAGCTGTCACGTACCCCAAGAGGGGGAGGATGGAGAAGGAATCCTCGTCGGAGGGGGAGGGGGAGGAGGAGGAGGAGGAGGAGGAGGAGGAGGAGGAGGAGAATGAGGAGGAGGATGTGGAGTAGGGAGAGGACGAGGAGGACGAGAAGGAGGAGAAGGAGCAGAGGGAGGAGAAGGAGGAGAAGGAGGAGAAGGAGGAGGAGGAAGAGGGGGATGAGAAATTGAAGAGGACGGCGAACCGAAGAGCCAGAAGCGTCTTAAATGCATTTCGGAGATCTTCTTGAGGCTTCTTGGGGGTCTCTTGGGAGCCTCTTGGAGGCCTCTTGGGCGCCTCTTGGGGCCGTCTGGGCGCCTCTTGGGGCGCTCTTGGGGCGCTCTTGGGGGCTGTAGGGGCGCTCTTGGGGCCATCTTGGAGGAGATCGATCAACGAAGGGGGGGTCCCTAATTAGTCTCCCCCCTCAGGAGCTCCAAACATCGCCTCTTGGGGCGCTCTTGGGGCGCTCTTGGGGCGCTCTTGGGGCGCTCTTGGAGCGCTCTTGGGCGCTCTTGGGGCCGTCTTGGGGCTCTCTTGGGCCTCTTGTGGGGCCCTCTGAGGCCATCGTGGAGCCATCTTGAGGCCTTGGATGGCCATCGGAAGCGAAACGGGGAGAAAGCAAAACACATTGATTTTCCTAAGGTTTTGGGACGATGTTGGCCTCTTCGGGGCCTCCTTGGGGAGCTCTTTGGCCACTTGGAGCCGTCTTGGGGCCGTCTTGGGGCCGTCTTTGGGCCTCTTGGAACCATCTTAGGAGCCATCTCGAGCGATCTTGCGATATCTTGAGCCATCTTGGAGCTCATCTTGGGCTCTCTAACGCGCTCTTGAAGCCATCTTGGGGCCAAAAGAGCCGTCCGACCGCTCGGGGAACCCTCCGTCCAGGTCCAGGGGAGGGGGTAGGGGGAGGGGTAAACCCCTCCCCAAGGGGGAAGAGGGAGGGGTGGCAGAGGATCTGTTCTAGACCACTTACGCCCAGAGGGCTGGTGGGATTCCGAGGAGTGGAGTGGGGAGGAGACCACAGGAGCGCCGAGAAGGGCCGAGGGTCGTCAGGGGGAGGCGGGGTAGAGTGCCTAGGATTGCGATGGAGTGGGGAAGGAGCATAATGTGTGCATTTATACACACGCACACCGATGCACAGATGCATATACAAATTCCACCAGCCCTCTGGGCGTAGGTGGTCTAGAGCAGATCCTCTTCCACCCCTCCCTCTTCCCCCTTGGGGAGGGGTTTACCCCTCCCCCTCCCCCCTCCCCTGGACCTGGACAGGGTTCCCCGAGCGGTCGGACGGCTCTTTTGGCCCCAAGATGGCTTCAAAAGCGCGTCAGAGAGCCCAAGATGAGCTCCAAGATGGCTCAAGATAGCGCACGATCGCTCGAGATGGATCCTAAGATGGTTCCAAGAGGCCCAAAGACGGCCCCAAGACGGCTCCAAGTGGCCAAAGAGTTCCCCAAGGAGGTCCCGAAGAGGCCAAAACCGTCCCAACACGTTAGGAACATTAATGTTTTTTGTTTTCTCCCCTGTTTCGCTTCCGATGGCCATCCAAGGCCTCAAGATGGCTCCAAGATGGCCCAAGAGGGCCCCACCAGAGGCCCAAGAGAGCCCCAAGACGGCCCCAAGAGCGCCCAAGAGCGTTCCAAGAGCGCCCCAAGAGCGCCCCACGAGGCGATGTTTGGAGCTCCTGAGGGGGGAGGCTAATTAGGGACCCCCCCTTCGTTGATCGATCTCCTCCAAGATGGCCCCAAGAGCGCCCCTACAGCCCCCAAGAGCGCCCCAAGAGCGCCCCAAGAGGCGCCCAGACGGCCCCAAGAGGCGCCCAAGAGGCCTCCAAGAGGCTCCCAAGAGACCCCCAAGAAGCCTCAAGAGGATCTCCGAAATGCATTTCAGACGCTTCTGGCTCTTCGGTTCGCCGTCCTCTTCAATTTCTCATCCCCCTCTTCCTCCTCCTTCTCCTCCTTCTCCTCCCTCTGCTCCTTCTCCTCCTTCTCGTCCTCCTCGTCCTCTCCCTACTCCACATCCTCCTCATTCTCCTCCTCCTCCTCCTCCTCTTCCTCCCCCTCCCCCTCCGACGAGGATTCCTTCTCCATCCTCCCCCTCCTGGGGTACGTGACAGCTTTCCCCGCCCTTTGTTATTCCGCATGCTCCCCGACTTCCCTGATCACCTCAACTCCCCTGGACATCGTTTCTGGATGGGCTGGTGGGGATACGCGAAGCGTCAACAATTCGCACAAACGAAACACGCGCCTGCCAGTGGCTCCGCAATGTGGGTGGATCGCGGGAAAATGACACGCTTCCCAAACGTAGGCACAATATGATATACACGGATAGTTACGAAGCGATGAAATATTGACACGAATACGTAGACATTTAAAGATAGGCACGTTTCGCGCACATAGGCATGCTCCATGTAGACACGGGTAGACACGGAATAGACATGGACATGTGGGAATTTGGCTCCAGGGGTTGGTCCAATCTCTACGAACATACTCACGGGAACCTCTCAGTTTCTTGTTGTACAGAAATTCGAAAGCTGCTCGTGACATCATGGCAGCCCCGAGCTGGATCGCTATCTCTTGGTCGTCCTGAAAGCCAGGGAGGTCACAGAGCCCAGGACGGCGCGAGGGCGTGCCCCACCACATTGTTGCCCGCCGGTCGTGGAAAGTGACCTCGGGGAGGAGGAGTTCAGCTCCCAAGCCCTTCAAGACCGTTTATGACTGCTGGGAAAACTCTCTGGCTCGGGCTGGGGCCACAAAGGCATTGCTCTGCCCCTGTCGTCGTGTCGCCCTGTGAGGCTATCATGCTGCTGCACGCTTGACCTGCTACGAATACGGTTGTTCGGGGGGGGAGGAGGAGGAGGAGGAGGAGGAGGAGGAGGAGGAGGAGGAGGAGGAGGAGGAGGAGGAGGGGGAGGAGGAGGAGGAGGAGGAGGGGGAGGAGGAGGAGGAGGGAGGAGCAGCGGAGATCGACTTTCGTGCACGTTCTCCGCCTCGTCCGGGCCACGCTGGGCCTCCGGAGACGTGCGGAGTCTTCCGGGGTCTCTGCATGGGTCCTGGCATGCTTTCCGGCGCCCAGCCGCTGCAAGGCCAGAAGCGCACAGAGGCATTTCGCAGCCCAGGGGACGGGCTGCAGCTCAGTGTGCAGTCAAGACGCTTAACACAAACAAGGACTACCCTTGGGGCGCAGGAGGGGCTCTGGTCTCCGTCCTGCTCCCTGGGGCCAGGGCCGGGAAGCGGGAGCTCATTCCTGGCCGAGGCTCGCCGTGGCCCGAGAAGCCCATCGTGTGTTCGTACGATCGCTGCAGATGCAGCACCCTGCCACTTGATGCTCCCGCCTACCTCTTCGGACCGACGTGCGCTCGAGTTCCACAGAAGGACGCCGCAGGGAGACCTCCTGGCTCCCTGGAAGACATTTCAGGGTCCTTCTGGTGGGGCCACAGGGGATAGATCCGTGCCGGGGCGTTCCGGATCGCTCGCGGAGCGTTCTGAGAAGGCCCCGGCGCCCGAGACATCCTCCAGCACGCCGGATCTCAGAGATTCTCGATGTATCCTCACCCGATTCTAGGCTCGTCGTGGTCTCGTCACAGTCCTCGCGGGCCGAAGACCAAGCCACACGAGCCGAAGCCTCCAGAGGTCTGCTCGGACACTGGGCTCGGGGGCGGAAAAGATGGGGGTGATGATTAGGGGGGGGGGGGGAATCATAGCGGGGGCCATGATATCTCCCCAGATTTCATGGCGCCTCTTCTTATTTCATTACGTCCCTGGCTCCCCCGCTGGGCCGCGCACATGCAGCCGGTCATGATTTGCACCCCCCCCTCTTGGACACCCCCCTCTTGGCCGCTCCCGATGGGCGGTGCCGGAGGCGCCCCCATGGGTTTGGGGAGGGGGCTCCAGCGCCGACCCGCGAGATCTGCACCGCGCCTCCGGAAGTGCTTATGTGTTGTGTGGCTGTTTTCTGCGGTCTGCGTCTGCCCCGGAAGCAGGCCCTCACCGAACGGGGGGGGGGGCGGATGAGGAGTGCCGAAGTCCCGAAACGGGCCGCAAACGCCCGGTGTGCAAATATTACCACGCCCGGCTCTTAGGGAATTCTTGACGCTTCGCTTCGCTTGTGAGCTGGCCCGGCCGGCCTGCGGCGCGCCCTGTCAATTAGGCCCATTGCCGCGCCCCGGACCGCTTCTGACTTCGCCTGCGCCTTCGCTTGCGGACGCGACCAAAAAGTATCCCCACCAGGAGCGAGCTGCCCCCTTCAGGGGCTGGGTGCACGGATGTCTCGTATGGTTCATCCTACGTCTAGTCCTTGCCCTCAGCGGCCCCTTGTTAGCGTTGTGTGCGACTTTGGTGGCGCCACTTCCATGCACTAGTTTCCTGGTCAGTGAGTTCTTCCTGGCCTAGCTGGTGTCTGCGGTCCTTCGTGATGGTGCTCCTGGCTTCATCCTGGTATCGCTCCCGCGCCATTTTGGCTGCGCCCCAACCTCGTTTGGCCAATTTTGCATGCGTTAGCTCCTGGACCCGTTTCCTGGCAGCTGCAGCCCGCACCTCCTCTCGCCTCCGGTCCGCTTAGGTGCCGCTTCGGCCTCCGGTTTGCCGGCGCGTTATGCAATTAGGTTCGCGCGTGGCCCGCCCGTTCCGTTTGACGCCGCCTGCGCTCTCGCTTGCGGCTGCGACAAACAAGTATCCCCACCAGGTAAGGTTCGCGCGTAGCCCGCCCGACCTCTGACGTTGCTGGCTCGCTCGCCTGCGGCCGCGACGGAAAAAGTATTCCCACCAGCGGGGGAGAGAGTATCGGTTCTGGCCCTCCTTCTGAGTGGCTGCCCGCTCGCGCGCTTTGCTTGCCTTTCTTTTCCTGCTGCCTAGTCGCGGCCCGACTAGTGTTCGGACGGCTTTCGACCCGCCTCGCGAGCCTGTTGACCAAAAGTATCCCCACCAGCCTTGCTTCTCGGCATCTGCCTGACGGCGCGCGGCTCTCCCGCTAGCGCTCGCGAACAAAAAGTATCCCCACCAGCCCATCCAGAAACGATCAGCAGGTGAGTCGGTGAATCATCTGCGGCAGGACGCATGCAGTTGCGCAGCCACCTTCGGGAAAACAAAGATCACAAAGAGCTTCCCGCATTGAAGTTTAATGTTCAAATCAGTGCGAGCTACGATGGTGCTCCGAAGGGGGGTGAGGAACGTTTCGATGACTCGTAATGGCTGTTGCACTGATTTGTATCTTAAACTCGCGTGCGTTTCGAAACTTGGAGCCATCTTGGGGCTCTCTTGGGGTTCTCTTGGGGCCTTCTTGGGGCCCTCCTGGAGCTCTTTCTTGGGGCTTCTCTTGTGGTCCTCTTAGGCCCTTCTTGGAGCCCTCTTGGGGCTCTTTTGGGGCGTCTTGGGGCCCTCTTGGGGCTCTCCTGGGGTCATCTTGTGGTCCTCTTGGGGTCCTCTGGATGCCTTCTTCGGACCTTCTTGGGGCTCTTTTGGGGTGTCGTGGAGCTCTCTTGGGGCTCTTCGGGTTGGTCTGGGAGGCCTCCTGGGGCCGTCTTAGGCCGCATTGATCAAAAAGATGGGGGGTTCTAATTCCCATCGCCCCTTCGGATGCTCAAAAATGCAATCTTGTGGCCCTCGTGGGACTATCTTGGGTCGTCTTGGGGCCATCTTGAGACCTCAAGAGCCCATCGGAGGCGAAAAAACGAGAAGGCACAACACATTGATTTTTCCTAGGTTTTTAAAGGATTTTGGCCTCTTGGGGGAGTCCTCAGAGGGCTCGGAGGGCACTTGAAACCGTCTTAGGGCCGTCTTGAGGCCTCTTGGATGCGTGTCGGAGGCTATCTTGAGCCATCTACCGCTATCTTGGGCCATCTGGGAGGCCATCTCGCACTCTCTGAAGCCCTCTTGGAGCCATCTTGGGCCGAAAAGGGCTCCGTGACACCTCGCGGGGGAGCCCGTCCAGACGCAGGGAGGGGGGGGGAGGTAAACCCTCCGAGCAGGGAAAGGAAGGAGGTTGGAAAAGGAAGCGCTCTAGACCACCTGCGCCCAGAGGGCTGGTGTGGGATTCCTAGCATTGTTTATCCTGAGTCCTCGACGACGTCGAAGTCGAGGGGCACCGCGAACTCCAATTCGGGCCTGCCCGCAGCTGGCCGCCGAGCTGGCGCGGGCCGCGGACGACAACGCCAGGCACCGCGGGCCTGCGAGCCGCCGCCGCCGTCGCCGCCGCTGCCGCCGTCGCCCCAGTCGCCGCAGCCGCCGGCGCCGGCGCCGCCGTCGCCGTCGCCGCTGTCGCCGTCGCCGCCGGCGCCGCAGTCGCCGTCGCCGCCGCAGTCGCCGACGCCGCAGTCGCCGTAGCCGCCGCAGTCGCCGCCGCCGTCGCCGTCGCCGCCATCACAGTCGCCGCCGTCGCCGCCGCCGTCGCCGTCGCTGGCGGCGCCGCCGTGCCCCCAGACCCCGGGTGTTGTTCGCCATGTTCGGCCCCCGCGGGCCTTCGCCAGGACCCAGGACCGTTAAAAATTGTGCGGGGTGAGACGCCAGCCCGTATTGAAAAAACGAAGACCCCGTATGGAAAACAACTAATTAGAGATTTGATGTTTGGGGTAGTCGCCGCCGCCGCCGCAGTGACCGCCGCTGAAGTTGTCGTTGTCGCCGCCGCCGTCGCCGTTGCCGTCGCCGTCATCATTGATTCTGGAAGTTGTTGTTTCGCCCCGTTCAGACCTCCTGGGACCTCCAGGGACCGTCAGAGGGGCCTAGGAGGTTCATCGTCGTCGTTGTTGCCGTCGTCCGAGGAGGAAGAGGAGAAGGAGGAGGACGAGGAAGAGGAGGATTGGCTCGTGTAAACCCAAGGCTCGCAAAAGATGTTGGAGTATACCCTCCCTCCAGGCTCCCTCTTCACAGGCCCCTACAAGGATTCATCTCCACTGAGAGAAGTGCCCCGTTGGGAGACAACCGCTTGAAGGTCCTGGCGCGTGCCAAATATCACCATGTCATGACTTCAACGCCACGAGTCAACCTGATTGTTGCATCTTGACGATCCTGGATCTTGCCAGGACACCGTTCCTGGGACCTTACACCTCGAATCGACGTACGCGCCGCGTAACTGTTGCTTCCGGACAATCCTGAATTACCCCGTAACATTTTTTGGGGTAAGACAACAATGAGAATCTGTGACACTCTCTCAAATATGTTGAACGAATGTGCGCGACGCCAAACGGGCAGCCGCATTTTGAAAAGGAGCCGCCAAGAATCCCTCAAACTCGCTGCACCTGTTTAAAGCGAACGCGCGCGGGCCACTCGCTACACCTCAATCCGCTAAGGCGAACGCCACATGTTGAAACGAGCCGCCCTCAACCTGTGAAACTCTTGCAATTTGTGTAGAACGAATGTGCGCGGCGCCACGGCGAAGATCACATGTTGAAAGCCACCTGTCCTCAATCCGTTAAATGCTGACAGGTTTTAGTACGAATGCGCACGGCGATAAGGCGATAGCCGCATTATGAACATCACTTGTCTCCAATCCTTGAGATTCGAGCACATGTTTGAAAGGAGTGCTCGCGGTGCTAAGGCGAGAGCCAAGTGTTGGAAGCGACCCGCCGCACTTCATCCGTGAACCTGTTTCCAGGTGTTAAGCTTGAGGCTCATAAGTGGTAAGGAAGTCTCAGGCGAAACGCCCCGCCCGCCCTTCTGACTGAGAGTTCTTCGTAAGGAACAGGAGTTGAGGAGCCGGTGGATGAGTAGTACAAGGACACAGTGGAAAGGGAAGGAGCTGCGGGAGGTGTTCGAAAGTTTCCGGGAGTTTGTGGAGGAGAAGGATGCAAAGGCGGGGGGGGGGGGAAAGAAAAAGAGAAAGGAGGGAGGGAGGGGTAATTAAACGGAAGAGGGGCAGCAGCAGCAGCGGGAGACCAGCTAACCGAGCGGCCTGCCTGTCCAGCCCAATGTCGGATGCTGCAGGTCAGGAGTGCAAGGGGGAGGAAGGCTCCTCCCTCCCTCCTACCCTCTTTATCCTCTTACTCGCTCTCCTCTTACTCCTCCTCCTCCTCCTCCTCCTCATCCTCATCCTCATCCTCATCCTCATCCTCATCCTCCTCATCCCATCGTGCAGGAGGGAGAGGACCCGCAGCAGCCCGCTTTTCGTCACTGCAACTTTCGTCGCCTTGTCCCTTCCTTCCCTTGCCCTACGGGTTAGTCGCAGGTGCCGTCCCCCCTCCCCGCCGTTTCTCACCCTCTGCCTCCGGGGCCGCCTGCGCCCACCTCGCCTCCTGGAGGGTCGCTGACCGTTACCTTGCTGCAGTTAACTTAGTTTGACCGCCCCCCCCCCCAAAGGGAAGACCGCTCCTGGAGGCGGGGAGGAGGAGGAGGAGGAGGAGGAGGAGGAGGAGGAGGAGGAGGAGGAGGAGGAGGAGCAGGGGGAAGACGAGTAGGAGGAGGAGGAGGAGAAGGAGGAGGAGGCCCCGGGGAGAAGTCCCCTCCCTCCTGCCCCGCTCCGGGCTTTCGTCCCAGACCAGGCGCCCAGGATCCCGACTCCGGGCCGCGCGCGGTGCATGCCCGAAGTTCTATAACCCCCTGGCTGCGCGCCCGCGGCGCCAGCCCAAGGGCCGCGCGAGATCCCAGGGTCCTAACCCATGCAGGGCGGTTTGGCCAGATCCAGACGGACACCAGGGCCACAAGCCAGCTACAACCCTTAGGCGATCGCAAGCATGGATCAAGGGGGCGTGGATTAGCGAGTGGCCCCGTTTCCATAGGAAATCGCAGGCTTTCGCCGCCGAGCTAGGCGGCACCGGCCGCATTTTGGGGAGGGCACCTCCCCCGATCCATGGATTTGGCGACCGCGCGACAAATCCGTGGATCGCTAATCCATGTTTGCGCGCCCCCCAAACCCGCAGCAGCTCGAGAGCAGCGAGGGACCGGGAGAGTCTTGCTGCTACGGGCGGCACCAGCGTCGTCCATGGGGCCGCGGGCCTGTCGGGCACCCGTGCTGCCCTGGAGTTGCGAGGAGGGAGAGGAGGAGAAGGAGGAGGAGGAGCAGGAGGAGGAGGATGAGGATGCGAAAGAGTTGATCAGGATCACAACGCCGATCCCAGCAGACTTCGTCTCTGTGGCGGCCCCACAATTGCGTGCCGCTCTGCACCGAGGCGAGTAGTGTCGATGAACTCTGGCCTTCGGTTGTGCCTCGTGCTACGTGCCAGGAGGAGGCGAACGAGCGGCCATGACCATGAGAGCGCATACGTTCTGTTCCTGTCGCGTCGACGCGGCAGAGACCCCGTTGCTAGCATTCAAGGTTGAACGCCGCCGGCATCCCAGGACTGGCCAATACAGAACGATTTGGCGATCGCAAAGCCGCGGATCGTTTTCAGCAACCAGCGCCAAGGTCGTCACGACACGAATCTGCCGTGCTTCACGCCCGTGCGTGCCCTCTTCTCTGTTTCTCCACCTGTGTTGCCTTCTGTTGGCCAGCTGCTCCCGCCTGGGTCCAACATGTCGCCCGCCTGTCCTACTCGGGCGCCTTTTTGTTGCTGTCCCGACTCTGCGGCCCCATTCGATCGAAGGTTGTCCAGCGCCGAACAGGGGCGGGGGGGGCAGGGAGAGGCGGCGGCGCGGCGGAGCGCGAGGAGGGGTCTGGGCAGGCCCCCACCAGTAAGTGCAGAAGTCGGTGCGATCGGAGCCTCCTCGTCCTCCTCCTCCTCGTCCCCGTCCTCCTCCTGCCGTGCTGTCGCCGCGGACGGGAACGGACTAGAGAGGGTCAGGGTTCTGAAGGATCCCCCTTGCCCAGAGCAAGTCTTCAGAAGAACTTCTGTTCTAGAGAGTGCTTGAATGGGCAGTGAGAGAGAGAGAGAGTCCCCGTCCTCCCTGAACGCGGTCGAGTTTCCCAACGATTAGAGCCCTTGTCCGCGCTCGCTGTTAGGAGGTGGCAGTGGCAGTAGCCTTTCGCTGAAAGCGGTCATACCCCCGGTGAGGGGAAGCGGATTCGATGCGCAGCCGGAGCGGGGGATGTTGTTGATGGATGCTTGCGGTGGAAGACTTAGGTCGGTGCTATCTACATGAGGCGTCCCTGAAACGACTTCGCCTTCGAGGATCGAAGGAGCTGGCACCCCTTCTTCAGCGGAAGGCGGCGGATCGTCGGCGGACGGTCGGCGGACGTAACTCGTGGGCGTTCCCGCTGGCGAAAACCACGGAAAGATTGCGCCGTCCAGAGTTGGCAACGCTTTTGGGCTCAGGGTTTTTGCGGGATCGGCCAAGTGGTCACGGAAGAATGTTGGGTGCCCCCAAACGGTGTGGTGACGACGCCGCGTGGTGAGTCAGCGGGGGTTCGGAGTGACTGCGTGGTTTTGGGATTCGGGTGGTTTTCCGAGATGTCTCGGGCGATTGGGGCCTCCAGAGTTCCAAGGCCGTGAAGTGACACACCGTGCGGTGGGGGCGTTGGGGATTCGGATGTCACCGCGCGGTCCGTGACCGCACGGTTTTGGGCTCCCGAAGCAGAATAAGCACGAGTACCGACAGCAGCTCCTGCCCACCAGCGGTCGCTGCTGGTTTTGGGCAACCTTCAGTGTTGGGCATTGTGATTTTGTTTTGTCCGTCTCTTTCGTCACCGCCTCGTCGCCGGCCGTCGTTTGGGGCTGTCCGCCGGTCTGGCGGCCACGTTGCCGCCGTCGCTGGCCGTCGTCTAGGCCAGTCTGCGGGTCAGTCGACTATGTTGCCGCCGTCGCCGCCCCGTCGCCGGCCGTCGTCTAGGCGTGTCTGCCAGTCTGGCGACTATGTTGTTGCTGTCGCAGCCCCGTCGCCATTCCGTCGCCGCTCAACATATACATACATATGTATGTATAGACGTGTGTCTAAAAATGTATGTAAATCTATATTTAGATATAGATATTGTACAGATTGTATATGCAGTAGTCACCACATAGATTCCCCGATCTACAAGACACTTGGGATCACCCCCTCTGGGGTTATCCACCCCCCTGGGGATGAGCAGTTTACATATGATATTGCCAAATCGTTCAGTTCCCATTCGAACTCATTCCGTTCCAGGCTGGCCAGTAATCCCCCCCGCGTCCCTTGCAAATCATTATGTGCGCGCATTCGTGTATCACAAATCATCCGTTGGCAAGAACCCCTCGCAAAAATTGCGAAGAAGACCATACGCGCGCGTCGTCTCTCGCGCATTCCGAAATCGGTCGACAGCATTATGTTTCGCAAGGACTTTAACATCGAGCGCGCCGAAAACACAAAACAACAATCGTTTTGAAATATGATTAGTCAAACACATTTGCGCGTGCGTTCTTGTGCTCTTTGTATGAAAACCAAAGACGGTTCAACCTTGTCATCGATTTCGACCAAGAGGCCCTCTGGCGCGCGCGTGCCGAAATCATTAGATCGGCCTTGCTCGCGTGTTGGGGGGGCACGATCCTCGTCAAAAAAACGACCCTGCGGGCCACTCGCGCCCGTCGGCCGCGCGCACATGTCGGACACCATCATCGTCACCGGCGTGATCGGCATCGGCGCCGTCATTGGCGTTGCCGTCGTCATCGTCATCGTCGTCACAGGCATCGCTACAATCATCATCGTGTCTGCCATTATCGACGTCGCCATGATACCACGCCCGCCTGAGTCACCGACTCCTATTGAAGTGCCCGCGCGGCGAGACGCGCTAGGAAGTCCCAAGTGGTCAGCGACACCGCACCGCGGTCGCGTCGTTCGCGTCAGACTTGTTGGCCGCTCTGCGCGCGAGCTTGCGCGCGCTAGAGAGGCCGCAGCGACGCACCAGCCAGCGCCAAGCAGTCATCGCAATCGTCGCCGCACGGGTTTTGCTAACCAAGTTCTGGGCGGGTGGGTGGGATGATTGCGCGAGAAGTGGAAATGACAAGTTGACAATTCGTTGCAAAAAAGCGTTGCACCAAAGAGAGTGCGTCACATGGGTCGTTGGAGCCGCACCGTTTGGGATCTCTGCTGGCGAGCATCTTTATATATAGGGATATTACGAGTGGTCGTCGTAGTGATGATGGTCGCAGTAACGTGCGTAACAGCAGCAGTGGTAGCTATTGGCGACGTAAATCATGGGTGCCTGTAGATTCGTGCGCCCGCAGGACGGGGCGGTGACACGACGACTTGACGGCGGCAGCGGATTGAAAAGTGACGCAATCGGACCCGTTCTCCCTTCCATGGGTTCGTGAACTCCCCACGCCGCCAAGGGTATGCAACGCCTTCATTGCAAACGTTTCCTTCAGGGGCCTGGAAAATCCTGCGCCTGGCGGGAAGGGGGCGGTGACCGAGCGACACGGCGGCGGCAGCGCGGACACACGCGAATCGTTCAGCCTTGTTCCCTCCCCCTTGGGCTTGGGGGTTGCCCGGGTCACCGAGGGCACGACATTTTTTCATTGGAAACGCCGTCCTCGGGGACTTGGAAAACTTCGCGCCGCGGCGACGGGAGCGGGGGCCGAACGAGTCGGCGGCGCAGCGGAGGGAAAGACGTCTCGTCGGGTCCTTCTCTCTATCCCCGCGGTTTTGGGCTTTGCCCGACCCCCCGAGGGCACGCCACTCCTCCATTAGACGCGTTGCTGTCGGGAGCTTGAAGGCTCCCGCGCCCGCGGGAAAGGGTGCGGGGGCTGAGCGACCCGGCGGCGGCAGCGTGGACACGGGTGACGCGTTCGGCTTTCTTCTTCCCCTCGCGTGTGTTTGGGGATTGTCCGAGTTCCCAAGGGCATGGTGCGCCCCCATCGGAAGCACTACCTGGGGGTTTGTGAAAGTGTATCACAGGAATCTTGCAAGGGTCTCCTACAAATCCTGCAAGGATCCCTCAGGAATCCTGCGCGGATCTCGCAGGAATCGTGTAAGGATCTCAGGGGGTTCCTGTAAGGATCCTTTGCGAATCCTGCAAAGATCTTCCAGGAGTCTGGTTGAGTATGTCCGACGAGTCTTGTCAGGACCTGCGAGGGATCCGGGTGAAAGTTTCAGGACTTGTTACAAGTGCCTCCCAGGCGGTTGGGAGTGGTACTGAATTGGTTGGAATTGTTTTGAACTGGGTTGAATCCGTTTCGACGTGGTTGTAATCTGTAATTCGTTGAATTTTCGTACGGGCCTTCCCCCCCCTCGCCAAGCGTCGACGCTCCGAGCTTCGCCCCGCCTCGCGCCCCGCGGAGCGGACCGACCTGCCTGCTGTCTGCTCGCAGGGCGCCGCGTGTCGCCGGTGCCCCTCGCCGCGGCGCGCGGAGCAAAACTCCCCGGCCGACGACGCCTCGAAAAGGAAGCCAGCCCGCCAGACATGCCCCACGGATGAGGATGTTCCAACCGACCTTAGCCTGGACCACCAGGAAGAATTCCGAGCACCAAGAGAGCACCGAAACTGGAGGGTGTTCGCGCATCGGGCCCTGGCCCTGGGGGACGATGCTCGTTTGACACTGTTTCTCGATACTTTCCTGGGTGCTCGCGATTATTTCTGGGATGTGGTCCTCAAGGGCGATGGGAGCAGCATAACCCACGGAGATCACTCGCCCTTCGATGGCGCTGGGGGAGACCCACGCAGGCCCTCGGGGCACCTCAGGAGGTCGGCAGATCGACGGTGGAGGTTAGGGGGCCACATGCGGACCCTACCCCTACCCCTGGAGCTCCCGAGCGAAGCACACCCCACCCTCCCCCTCAGAAATCGTGGGGGGTAGGGGTAGGGTTCGCATGTGGCCCCCAGGAGGTGGCCCGTTATTGTTGTGCCCAAGGTTCAGGTCCACATGCATCTGGGCGCGCCAGAACATCGGCCGAGTGGAGTCCGATTGGCGACGCCGCGGTCGGCGTTCCGGGAGGGCGAGCGATGTCGTCCAGATCTCGGGCCCCTTCGCGTCCCCCGCTTTCTCTGAGGCCCGGCGCAGTGAAACACATGCAGCATCTCGAAACATCATGACCAGAGCCCTAGACCCCATCTTCCTGCTGCACGTTTCGAGCCGGATCGATGTGCGATGGTCCCTGGGGCCCAGGCCGGGTGAAAATGCCTGGCGTGAACGCCCGGGTTGAGGGCTCGCCCCTGCGATCAGCGCCAGCTTCGAGAATTGATGCCCGCTCGCATATCGCTGCAGCATCACGATGAAACCGAATAGCTCTCAAGCTGTGATTGCGCAGTCCTTTTCCCGCCTGGCTTTAGGCGTCCCGGTGGCCATGGTATGCTCGGCAAATTCACGCAATAAATCCGTGCATGCATGGCACACTTGCAGCCACTCATGCAAAGTATGTGCAATCACGCGCTTCAGTGGCAACGGCGCTCGGCTCAGGTGCGACGGAAAAAACAGCTTATTTAGTCCGCGGGCGCCAGTGTGTGCGAGGCGGTCAGGCGCCAGTCAAAGCGAGCGGTGGGTTGCCCTGGAAGTTCGTACAGGCACGAAGCGAAAGAGAAAGAGGCGAAAGAAAAAGACGAGGACGGAGCCCGCTAATTAGTGATGACAGCCATGCGCTCGTGCAGCATCAGGCTCAACGTCCAGCTCCAGGCGCAGATCACCACGCTCCGCGGGGTGCAGAGCGACTGCGCGGCGCAGCTGGCGGAGGCCACCGCGCAGATGAACCAGGCGGCCTCCGAGGCCCGGCAGAAGGACGCGGGCCCCGTCAGTCCTCCTGCTGCTGCACTTTGGACGCCCGAAATGGGTACGGAAAGAATGGGTACAATGCCCAACAGCAAATGTTGCCCCAAACCAACAGCGGCCGCTGTTGGGCAGGCGGCCCTCTGTCTCGAATGGACACTGGCCGCGGCGGCGTGGACAGCGAATCCTGTTCAAAATGAACAGGAACTGCTGTTGGGCATTGTACCCGTTCTTTCCGTACCCATTTCGGGCGTCCAGATGCACCGCTGTGCTCCCAGAGCCCCTCGCGCCGTGCAAAGAGCAAGCGCGCGGCGGGGCGTTCGTGGCCGCTCGAGGCCCCGCGGGGGCCCTCCTCGCCGGGCCCCGGGGCCGTCAGCGAACGGCTCGGGATGAGAAGCTGGCCCTGGGATGAGAAGCTCGCCCCCATGCATGTCGCCCCTACACGAAGCAACGCCCATTCCTGGGGGCCACGTTGTGAAACAGTCACGACGTCCAGGGTCTGGGATCCTTGCGAGGGGAGCCTCCTCCCTCTTGAGTCTTGCGCCCATCGGCATACACGTTGCAGGTAAGAAAGATATGTACCCCCAGGAGGGCAGGATCGAAGACGAAGAGGGCGGATATCGAAGGGTTGGGATATACGTATTGACTGGTACTTGAACAAATAAGAGCGAACAGTCTTAAACTGAATGTTGTTGTTGTTGTTGCTGTTGCTGTTGCTGTTGCTGTTGCTGTTGCTGTTGCTGTTGCTGTTGCTGTTGTTGTTGTTGTTGTTGTTGTTGTTGTTGTTGTTGTTGTTGTTGTTGGTTGTCGTCGTCCCCCCCGCGACCTGACCCGCGACCCACCCGCGACCCACCCGCGACCCACCCGCGACCCGGCCCGCGACCCGGCCCGCGACCCACCCGCGAACCACCCGCGAACCACCCGCGACCCGCCCGCGACCCACCCGCAACCAGCCCGCGACCCACCCGCGACCCAGCCGCGACCGCATTGCTTGAACGAAGATACCTGCGCAACCACGGCGAGCTCGTTGTATAATTTGCGAAAGTTAGGCGCCTGCGGCGGGCTTCTTCAGAACCTCACAGATTATCGACGTCCCCACCGCCCCCCCACTCTTGTCCGCAACTGCGATGCGCTACGTATCAACAACAACTCCCCGCTGTGGCTGATTATGGCCCACGCGTTGGTCTAACCCCCCCCCCAGCCCCATCCCTCCAGAAAGACAATTTCCGGATTGGGAGGATAGGGTCGGGAGAAATGAGCACACCATCAAGATTCGTTGCTGAGCATGTCGAGGGTGCTTATTACACAGTCGTGCCCTGTACCTTCCCGACCCCCTCCCTCCCGGAACGATAACTGCTTTGCTCATCCCTCCGCTCCGCCTTCGACCCCCCCTCCGCGCCTCCCAGCTGGTGTCCGATTAGATGGGACCAGAGGGGCGTGCCGCATCGCCGATGCACCAGTGACCAGCGATGCGGCTCGATCTGGAGCCAGAGTCTCTCCATGCCGATGCATCGCCGATGCATCGCCGACGAATTTCGGACCCTATCTTCAGGTCGGGCATGTCCTCCTACAGGCGGATTGTGGAGGAAGAACCAAAAACAATCAACACTCATCCAACAACAAAAACCAAAATTACCCCAAAAAGAATCGTCCTCATACAATTTTTTGGCTATGCTTGAATTTTCCACAACGAATATATGGGGAACTCTCGGAGATGGCTTCGTGCGCCGACATTAACTGTGGCACGACTCCCGATTCCCCGATTCCGGAGGCACGACTCCCGATCAGCTCGCTGACACAAATGGCGATTCCCCGACTCTGGCGGCAGTTCTATGTCTCTCCGTCCCCGGCTCCGACTCCGGCTCCTTTCTTTCCGACTCCGGCTCTCCCATCTGATATCCCTCCGACTCCGTCTCCGACTCCGGCTCCCATCTTTCCGACTCCAGCTCTCCCATCCCATCCCTCCGGCTCCGACTCCAGCGAATCCGGCTCTCCCATCCCATCTCTCCGACTCCGACTAAGACTCTAGGTCCCATCTTTCCGACTCCGGCTCTCCCATCTCGTCCCTCCGACTCCGGCTCCGACTCCGGATCCCATTTTTCCGACTCCGGCTCTCCCATCTCATCTCTCTGATTCCGGCTCCGATTCCGGCTCCAACTTCGGGTCCCAATTTTCCGACCCCAGGTCCTATCCCATCTCTCCGATTCCGGCCCCGATTCCTATTTTCATCTTTCCGACGGTGGTCCCGACTCTGGTCAAATTCATTCGTCTGTGGCAGTACGTGTGGTTCTTTTTCTCCGACTGCGGCTCCGTCACCAACTCCCATCTTTCCGACCTGGCTGCCATTAATGGCAGCTGGGGTCGGGAAATTTCCCGACCCCGGCTTCTGAGCGGCGCCCCGGCGCCCTCCCGCCGCACCCTCGTAGGTGCCTCGACGCGGGCTCTTGCCTTGTCTCTTGTTTGAATATTCCTCCTGTGGAGGGGCGTGCCCAACTTAACCCTATCTAGGAGGCCTCTGCCCCCGCCCTCCCCGACCCCGCTGGCTGCACTCGGAGGACGAGCAGCGCAGAGACCTGCTGAGCAGCCACGGGCGGTTCATGTCGGAGTGCAGCGAGAGGATCGAGCAGGACCGGGCCCCCTGTCACGGGAGGAGTGGTGTCCGGGGGCACGAGCAGCAGGAGGGAGGTGGAGGAGGATGAGGAAGAGGAGCCAGGAGGAGGACAATGAGCACGAGCACGGCGAACAGGAGGAGGAGGGAGGAAGAGATGAGGGATGAGGAGAGGAGGAGGGGGGATTCGGAGGCGTGAGGGGGAGGGATAGGTGGAGGCCGAGAAAGAAGTGCAAGAGGAGACGGAGGAGGGAGGACAGGAGGAGGAGGAGGAGGAGGAGGAGGTAGAAGGAATGGCAGCCGGCGGAGCAGCAGGAACAGGAGGATGGGGTGAAGAGGAGTTACAGGGAAGGCAGGAGCAGGAGAAGGTCGCAACTTCATCGCTGCCGTGACTGGTGCCAAGCGATGAGTATTGTTGCCATCAGAGGTAGATTGCGCACGGTCACAACGTGATCGCCGTCGCCTCCCTCTCTCTGTGCCTGGCCGAGCCCGTAGACGAGCCGATCAGGCAACTTTTTGTCTTACACGCTTGCCGTTGTCTACCCGAGGCTGTCCTCATAAGATGGTTTCACTTTTAGTTGAGCGGGCCGATCGCCGAGAATGCGGTGACATTAACTCAGCCGGCCAATCGAGCACGATCGTTCTTTGTTGTGGACGGGTATAGCCCCCATGAGGGGAAGTGGATTTGCCTTGGGGCGTGGAAAATATCAAAACCACGTGTGTGTGTGTGTGTGTGGGTGGGGCGATGTTCATTTGGTGGGTGGGGCGATGTTAATTCGGTGGGTGGGGCGATGTTTGATGGGTGGGGCGGTGTTTGGTGGGAGGGGCGGTGTTCGACGAGTGGGGCAGTGTTTGGTGGATGGACACCTCTGGGCGGCGCCTCTGGCGCCGCGCGCCGCCCGTGGAGCGCTCCGCGCGCCGGAGAAGGGGGACGGAGCGAGGGTCGAGCTCGGTCCCAGGGGGTCGGAAGTCGCATTGGAAGAGCGTCGATGTGACTTGGTCGTCTTCTGGCCGGACAGTCACCTGGCCGAGGGCCTCTGGCTGCTGCGAGCGCCCGTGCGGGCTGCCTCTGCCGTGCCGCGGCGGAAGGAGGTTGGCCTTCCAGCTCCAGCGGCGGCAAACCTGGAGAGCCTCGTTCGGGGCTAGGGCCTAAGGGCGGGGATGGGTTTGTGCCAGAGCGTGCCGGGGCGCTCCCAGCGCGTTCCGGAACGCTCTGCGACAGCCGCGGCGCCCGAGACATCCTCCAGAGCCGCCAGATCTCAGAGCTCCCCGATGTATCTTCACGCGATTTGATCCTCGCCCTGGCTCCGTCTGAGTGGTGGAAGGATCACCCAGACGGCCTGGCGCGGGTCCTCCTGCACTGCCTCTGCGTGGTGCTCCCGGCGCCCCAGGCGAGGGGGCCCAGGCCCCCCGAACAATCGGTGGCCCACACCGTGGCCCCACCCTCGTGGACAGCTCGTCGCAGCCGCTGCTGCTGCGTGGTGCTCCGGACGCCCGGCGAGGGGGGCCGCCCGGGCTTCGCTCTTTGGAGTCAGAAGAAAAATAGTATGGGGACGATTTTTCTACTATGTTGGATTATTTGGAGGAGGAGGAGGAGGAGGAGGAGGAGGAGGAGGAGGAGGAGGAGGAGGAGGAGGAGAAGGAGGAGGAGGAGGAGGAGAGGGAGGAGGAGGAGGAGGAGGAGGAGGAGGAGGAGGAGGAGGAGGAGGAGGAGGGAGGATGCTGAGCTATTTTTCAGTTTTCGTCCAAGATCCGCCTCGGCAAGCGCGCCGCTGGCGCCCGCTGGCCCAGTCCCTGGCCATATGTGGGCCCCAGGCCCCGGCCAGACCCCCGAGGGCGTCGACGAGCGCCCCCTCCTGGGCGAAGGCCTCGCAGGCCCCCTGGCCGGCCCCCGAGGCGGCGCGGGCGGGCGGGCGCGGGTCAAACGACGCGAAGATCGGGACAAAATCGGATCGGGATAACTCGAAATCTCTGAGAATCGGCGGGTTTGGAGGATGTATTGGGCGCCGCGGCCGCTCCAGAGCGTTCCGGAACGCTCTGAGAGCGCTCTGGAACGCTCTGGAGCGATTTATCCCGATCCTAGCCCTGTTTTAGCGGGCCGAAGCCTTGGCTGACCCAGCCAGCGCTGGAGGGAAGAAAAACACACACGTGCACAGACGCAGAGCATCGTCGCTCCCCAGGAAGGTATGGACAAGATGGTGAGCCTTTAGAACGCAAGTATCAGCCAGCGTTGGCTCCAAATAGACAGGAGGACAGGGGGAGGACGAGAGGAGGACGCAAGGAGGACGGGAGCAGGACGGGAGGAGAACGGGAGGGGCAACATCAATCAAGCGCAAGCAAGCAAGCGGAAGCAAGCAAGCGCAAGCGATCAATAACGAGCAAGCAAGAGCCAGCGATCAAGTGCAAGAAAGCAAGGGCAAGTAAGAGCATGAAAGCGAGGGCAAGAACGCAAGAGCAAGCAAGCATGTGCCTTTGGAAAAGGGGGGCACTGAAAAAAAGGGTGGGCCATTGGAAGAATGGGGGGCCCTAAAGACCAATTACTTATGATGAGCTCGGAATCCCACAGGGCAAGCCTATTTGCAGAACAAGTTCTGGAGAGTTTACTTGCATGGACGTGGGGGGGCCTGAATCTGAAGCAGGCCGCAAACGATCTGCACGTGCGGGAATCACGCAAGTCGAAAGGGGCTCAGGAGCCCTCGCAGGTCGATCGGGCTCGAAGTGTGCCGCAGAAAGATGGGGTCCATGGGGTCCGGGGCTCCAGTGGTGCTTTGTTGCAATTGGTTTGGCAACGTGGGATCACAGGGTGGGCGAACGTTGGCAGGCGCAGACAAGGAATTGGCAGGCAGAGTGTCAATAGCCCCTCGGCGCAAGCACCGTCTGAGGGCCTTCTACCCCAGACCCCCTCGCGTCATGACACAAACACGGCGGGAGTTTTTGTTCGCCGTCTTCGCCTTTGAGGGCCCTCACCGGGCGTTAGGGGCTGTCAAAATTCGACTCAGGATGAAAAGCCAGCCCCGGGGAATGGGTCGAGATCTCTGGGGGTCGACGTTGTGAAAAAATAGGATGCGGGGGTCTGGGAATGGAAGTCCTCCAGGGGCATCCCGGAGGCGTCCAGAGGGCTCCTAGTGGGAGGTTGTTCTGGAAGTCCAGACTTCAGAGGAGCAACAGAAACCATTGGCAATGACATGCTCCAAGATGTCAGCCTGCTCCTGGGAGTTCCTCCGGGGACATCCCAGAGGCGTTCAGAGGGCTCCTTGTGGGAGTTTGTTCAAGAAGTCCAGACGTCAGAGGAGCAACAGAATTCGTTGGCAATGACATGTCTCAAGATATCTTAGATTTCCTCCTGCTCCTGTTCTTCCTCCAGGGGCATCCCAGAGGCGTCCAGAGGGATTCGGATGGGAGGCTGTTCTGGAAGTCCAGACTTCAGAGGACAATAGAAACCACTAGCAATGCCATGTTCCAAGATGTAGAGTCCCTCGCGCTCCTGGGAGTTCCTCCGAGGGGCATCCCAGAGGCGTCCAAAGGGCATCTTATGGGAGGCTGTTCTGGAGTTCCAGACATGTCGGAGAAGCAATACACACCATTAACAGTGACATGATCCAAGATCGATGTCTTAGAGTCCCTCGTGCTCCGCACGGGCTCCGTAATCGAGTGCCGCTAGATACTCCAGAAGTCATACTGCGGGCCACATCGACGCGGGGGGTATCGGACACTCCCGCTGGAGCTCACTTGGCTGCAGACATCCTTCATTTATTCTCTGGGCCCCGGCCATCATTTCAAAAAGCTGACCTGCAGGGGTAGGCTTCGCATGTGCGCGACGGAAGAGAACGGGGTCGATGGCGCGGACATTCGTGCGTAAGCCTCCCGCGGAAGGTCGCGCGTGAGCGCCCGCCTCTCCCACGCGGCGTGCCACGCCGGTGGCCCGCGGAAGCTGCGGCGTAAGGTTGCTACGTCTTCTCGCGTGAAGACCTGAATTTCTTCGTTGCCGATGTGGCTGCCTACAAACACGCGCGCCCCGAGATTCTCTACCAAGACATGTGCTACATCAAGAAGATCCGCGCGGGCATCCTGGAGGACAGCACCGTCTCGCCGCCCGACGACATCGTCGACTGCGAGGCCCCCCCCCCCCGACGGCGCCCGAAGGCCTCGCGAGGCCTCGGAGCGCAGGTCCGAGGGAGAAGGGAGGAGGAGGAGGAGGAGGAGGAGGAGGAGGAGGAGGAGGCGGAGGCGGAGAGGGAGGAGGAGGAGGAGGAGGATGAGGGAGGAGGAGGAGGAGGAGGAGGGGAGGAGGAGAGGAGGAGGAGGAGGAGGAGGAGGGAGGAGGAGGAGGACGGAGAGAGGAGGAGGAGAGGAGGAGGAGGACGAGGAGGAGGAGGAGGAGGAGGAGGAGGAGGAGGAGGAGGAGGAGGAGGAGGAGGAGAGGAGGAGGAGGAGGCGGGAGAGGAGGAGGAGGCGGAGGAGGAGGGGGAGGAGGAGGAGGAGGAGGAAGAATAGGAGGAGGAGGAGGAGGAGGAGGAGGAGGAGGAGGAGGGAGAGGGAGGAAGGAGAAGAGGGGAGCCCCCCCCGCGGGGGAGCCTTCGACGACAACGGCGTGCACCCGGTGCCCTCGGCTCTACGCTCGATGGGGGCGGGGAGAGCACACCGAGGCCAAGGGCCCGCACGCCAGGAGCTGGGACGCAGAGATACGATGCGCTCAGCAGAAGCAGCTGCGCGAAGGAGCCCCCAGATCTGCCACCGGGAGCTCTCGCCCGATGCCCGGAGGCCCGGAGGCCCGACGCTGATCTCTGCCGCAAGCCGCACGCTCAGCGACCACGGCAAGCTCTTGACCAGGGGGGCGTGGCGGAGGATTCGTGGGACGGACTCCATCGCAAGCCGCGCGGCAGCCTCCAGCGCCCGGGGCGTCGGGCCGAAGGCCCTCCCTCGTATGAGGCAACGTCCCGTCCACTTTCGGATCGGATGCTCCCACTGGCCCTCCCGACCCCTCCTCCTGATCTTCCTGGCGCACTCCCTCTCCGCCCGAACTCTCCTCCTCACTTTCCCTCCCCATCCAACTGTCCCTTGCTTGTCTCATCTTCATCCCCTATGTTCCATGCCCTCTTCTGCGTCCTCTCTCTCCTCCTTCTCCCCCCTGACCCTCCTGACCCCTCCGAATTCCTTCCACTGCTCTTGCTGCTCCTCCTCCTGACCTGTTCCTCCTCCCCTCCCTCCTCGCCTCCTCCGAACCTCATCCTGACCTCTTCCTGACCTCCTCCTCCTCCTCCTCCTCCTCCTCCTCCTCCTCGTCCTCCTCCTCGTCCTCCTCCGTCGGCCCGACGCTGTGCCTCCTCATCCTCCTCCGTGGCTGTCGTTGTCTCTTTCGGATTCCGGATCGAACGCAGCGCCCTCCCCTCCCCCCGCGGCCTTCGCCATTGAGCGAGGTCGATCAAGTCAGTCGGGAAAGTATGAGAGTGGCCGCGTCCCTGGTGCCGCTTGCGCTCGTCAAGCGAGGCAGGGCCATACACACTCCTCCCTCCCCCCTCCTCCTCCTCCTCCTCCTCCTCCTCCTCCCTCCTCCTCCTCCTCTTCCTCCTCCTCCTCCTCCTCCTCCTCCTCCTCCTCCTCCTCGCCCCCCCCTGCTTGGATAGCAGGGGCCCCGTCATCGACTCGGGGATAGCCGGGGCACCCCCCACTGGCGGAGCCAGTGGGGCGGTCGGCGCCGCCTCGATCGGCGGGGTGTAAGTAGAGCCGGGGACCAGGCCGCAGGACTGGCGGAGGCGGGAGGGGTCGCGCCTCCCCCGGGGGAGGGGGTATGGTTGCTGTGGGACTGTGCCCCTCCCCTCCTCCTCTCTCCCTTCTCCTCGTCGCCTCCCCCTCTCGTCTCCTCCCCCCGGGGCTCACAGCTCCCACGGCGGTTCACCCCCCCGCCGGCCCGAGGCCGGGGGACCTGCGGCGGCGCGCGGAGCGTGCCGCCGCCGTTAGTCACGCGGTGGTCGATGTTTCGGCTTCGTGCGCTTCAGGAGTCTCCGCCCTGTCGCCTATGACAGGCCTGGGGTTAGGCGGCAGGCTCGTTTTCGCCGCCGTTGTGCGTGTTTCGCATCTTCGGAGGTCAGGCCAGCAAAGTCCAGCAGAATCCTCCTCCTCCTCCTCCTTCTCCTCCTCCTCCTCCTCCTCCTCCTCCTCCTCCTCTCCTCCTCCTCCCTCCTCCTCCCTCCTCCTCCCCTCCTCCTCCTCCTCCTCCTCCTCCTCCCATCCTCCTCCTCCTCCTCCTCTCCCCTCTTCTCCCTCCTGGTCCTCTCTCCCTCCCCCCCTCCTCCTCCTCCTCTCCTCCTCCTTCTCCTCGTCGTCCTCCTCCTCCTCCTCCTTCTCCTTCTCCCTCCTCCTCCTCCCCCTCCTCCCGCCCCTCTCCCGTTGCTCTTTCTTTTTGTTGTTCTCTCTCTCTCTCTCTCTCTCTCTGTCTCTTCCTTTCTCTCTCTCTCTCTCTCTCTCTTTCTTTATTTCTTTATTTATGTCTTTCTTTCTTTATTCCTCTATTTTTTTTTTCTCTCTCTCTCTCTCTCTCTCTCCCTCTCCCTCTCTCTCTCGTCTCTCTCTCTCTCGCTTTTTATTTTTTTTTCGCTCTCTCTCTCTCTCGCTCTCTCCTCTCTCTCTCTCTCTCTCTCTCTCTCTCTCTCTTTCTTTTGTTTTTGTTCTCTCTCTCTCTCCTCTCTCTCGCTCTCCTCTCTCTCTCGTTATATCTCTCTGCCTCTCCCCTCCCCCCCATCCCCCACCCTTCCGCTTCCTCCCGTTCTCTTTCTTTCTCTTTCTCTATATGTGTTTGTGTTCTCTCTCTCTCTCCTCTCTTTCTCTCGCTCTCTCATCTCACTCTCCTCTCTCTCTCTCTCTCTCTCTCTCTCCTCCTCCTCCTCGCCCCCCCCCCCCCCCTGACCTGTCGCTCCGCGGCGCCCCCGAGGTTTCGGACTGGGTGCCTGGGGAGTGCTCCGTGAGCTGCGACGACGCCTGCACCGGCGCAGAGGATCCTCGGGGCCTCGGCAGCTCGGCTGCGCGTGTCCGAAGCACCCCGCAGTTGCGGACAGGAGTGACGGGGCGGACGCGGGGTGGGTCGCGGGTGGGTCGCGTGTGGGTCGCGGGGTGGGTCGTGGGGTGAGTCGCGGGATGGATTAGGCGGTGGGTCGCGGGGTGGGTGGCGCAGTGGGTCGCGGGTAGGTCACGGGCGGGTCACGGGCGAGGACGACCACAACAACAACAACAGCAACAACAACAACAATTATAACAACAGCAGCAACAACAACTACAACAACAACAGCAGCAACAACAACGACAACAGCAACAGCAGCAACAACAACAATCATTCGAAGACGGTTAGCTCTTACCTGCTCGCGTGCAATTCGACACGTGTACCCAAAAGCTTCGTTGCCCTCCCTCTTCGTGTTCGATTGTACTCCTTTCTGGGGGTATATATTTCCTACCTGCCGTGTTTAGCGGGCGCAGCCCCGAAAACATGGGAAGGAGGGGAGGAGTGAAGAGACAAGTGGGAAGGAGAAGGATGGAGCACGAGAGAAAGTTGCAGGACGAGGGTTAGAAGCAGAAGCACAGGCGGCAGAACCAGCCTAGCGTGTCGGGCGGGTGGGCCCTAACGGGCAGGTCGTGCGGGCGGGCCCAGACGGCCAGGTCGAGCGGGCGGGTCGCGAAAACGTCAACCCGTCAACCCATCATGCAGGAATATTAAAACGATTGCGCGATCCCCATGTAAGTCGTGAGGAAGTCCAGAGCGAGAGCGTGATTACTGAATGTAGGAGGCACGGCGCCGCAAGACATTGGGAGGAAATACCACGCGAGAGCCCGATTTGTTGATCAAGTATGGGGAAGTCCCGCGCGAGAGCACGACATTTATTTACATTGTGAGGAAGGATCAGGCTTGAGCCGTTGTTCGTATTGTAAAGCGGGTCGTCGTTGTCGCCGTTGTCGCCGTCGTCGTCCTTCCTCCTCCCTCGTCGTCGCCTTCGTTGGCGTCGTCGTCGTCTTCGTCGTCGTCGGCGTCGGCGTCGTTGTCGTCGTCGAAGTCGTCGGAGACGTCGTCGGTGTCGTCGTAGTCGTTGTCGTCGGTGTCGTCGTAGTCGGTTGTTAAAGGTTTGCAAACCAAGTTGCGGGTGGGTGGGTGGGATGTTTGCGCGAGCAGTGGAAATGACGATTTCAAGTTCAGCAGAGTGGATTTCACCACATACATTGCTCCACACAAATTGCGCAACATTGATTCTCCTTTCTAAAAAGAGGATCGACGCTACCCCCCCCCCGGACTTATCGCTTCCCCCTGGGATCGTAAAATTTTACACACACACATATATGTATATATATATATATATATCTATATATATATATACATGTATATATATATACATATGTATGTATTGCACACTCGTCCATCCGACATATGACGTCATGTCATCCCAGCCAAACCGGGTTCCCCCCCTGAGGTCCCCTGTGTAAAAACACTGTGCGGTGACATTTGTTGCTCTAACATAGCATTTTTCACGAATCTCTTGCAAAAAATTGGACGAAGTGCACACGCGCGCGTCGTCGCGCGCGCATGCCGAAATCCTTCAAAAACCTTCGGTGCCGGAAGGATTTCGCAATCGAATTTCCCCAACAACATACAAAAACATATGGTTTCGCAACACCGATTTGCTAAAAAAGTTTCCGCGCGAGTTCTTGCGAAATCTTAAGAAAACCATCGGTTTCCCAATATTTTCACAAATGCTACCAAACGGGTTTCGCGCGCGCATGTCGAAATGTGTCGAACGCCCTTGCGCGTGTGCCGTCGCGAGAATTCTCTGCAAAAAATGGGACGAAGTGCAGACGCGCGCGTCGTCGCGGGCGTATGCCGAAAACCTTCAAAACCCATCGGTTTCGGAAGGATTTCAAAATCGTGCGTCCCAAAAAACCTACAAAAACCCAAGGTCTCGCAACACGAATTTTCAACAAAAGCGTGCGCGCGCGCTCTTGCGTCGTCGTCGTCGTCGTCTTCGTCCGTCGTCGCCGTCCTCCCTCCTCCCGCGTCGTCGTCGTCGTCGTCGCCTACGTCGTCCTTCTGTCTTTTCTCGTGTTCGTCGTCGTCGTCCTCTTTGGCGTCGTTGTCGGTTCCGTCGTCGTTGTCGCCGTGGTCGTCCTTCCCTCCTCCCTCCCACGTCGTCGTCGTCCGTCCGTCGTCGGCGTCTCGTCGTCGTCCCTCCTCCTATTTCGTCGCCGTCGTCGTCGTCGTTGTCGTCGTCGTCGTCTTCCCTCCTCCCTCGTCGTTGTCGTCGTCGGCGTCGCCGTCCTTCCTCCTTCGTCGTCGTTCGCGTCGTCGCCGTCCTCCCTCCTCCCTCGTCGTTGTCGTCGTTGCCGTCGTTGTCGCCGTCGTCGTCCTTCCTCCTCCATCGTCGTCGCGTTCGTTGGCGTCGTCGTCGTCGTCGGCGTCGGCGTCGGCGTCGCTATCGTCGTCGAAGTCGTCGGAGACGTCGTCGGTGTCGTCCTAGTCGTTGTCGTCGGTGTCGTCGTAGTCGGTCTTAACAGGTTTTGCAAACCAAGTTGCGGGTGGGTGGGTGGGATGTTTGCGCGAGCAGTGGAGATGACGACTTCAAGTTCAGCAGAGTGGATTTCACCTCATAGTTCGCACCAATGCTACTGCACAACACAGGTCGCACAATATAGTTTGCACAACATAGATTGCACCAATGGTGGTTGCCCCATATAGGTTTCACAACCTATGTTGCTAGACGCACACTGTTTTGTGTCCACGCCTGCGATCAATTTTCAGACATAGGAGATCAACAAGAGCACATCAAGGATAATCCGCCAGACGGAACGCCACTTCGGCCACGCACACAGGGACAATGAATGACCGTTCGGCCCCTTCACTCTGATAACTCTGATAAGGGTGACCTCTTCTGGGTTTCTGGGAGATCCTCGTCGCCATGGCTTGATTTGCTTCCAAATTCTGGTCAGAACGCAGCCCGGGAGAGAGGTCCAGGGAGTCCGGGGAGTGGCAGTTTCGGCGCTGCGGACCCACAGGTTGTCCCACGGCATTGCCTGGCGTTTTTTGGCTTCCCCCCCCCCTCCCCCCCACGGTCCCCAGGAAGCCTTGCACCGAAGGTCACTCTTTCCGAGGGTCACTCCTGCATGCTGCCGAGCAGCGCACCCCCCTCCCCAGGAGGTGAGGGGGGCAGAAAAGCCGAGGAGGGGGGAGGGTGGGGGGGAGGGTGGGTGTGGTCTCCCTTCTCCGCTTCCCTTCCCCTGTGTGTGTGTGGTCCCCCTTCTCCGCTTCCCTTCCCCGCTTCGGGGGGGGGGGAGGGGCGTGGGGGGGGGGGGGGGGGGGGGCCCGGGGGAGGGAGAGGAGAGCGAGCTGGGCGGCAGCGGTAAACGATTCGTTTCCCTCTGAGAGTCCCTTGGGGGGTCCAGGTCCGCCCGCCATGGCACCTCTCGGCGGAAAGGGAGAAAACGTCAGCAGAATGGGAAGGGATGGGTGGGAGGGGCAGGATGTCAGATGCGGCGCGACCGCGCCAAGCTTGTCCTCTCTCCTCTCTCTTCTCCCTCCTCTTGCCCGTCCTCCTGCCCCTTCTGCTCGGCCTTCTCCTCATCTTCCTCTAAGCAACCTCCCTCCCCACCCCAGAGCCCCATACGACCTCCCCGAGCATCCCCCCCCCTCCCCCCCCACCCCATCCACCAAAAATGATAACGCTTCCAAGTCTCCTCCTCCCTCCTCCCTCTCACCCTTGCTGCCCCCTCTAGCCTTCTCCGCCGCCGTCGTTTGTCGCCCCCGTCCTCGCCGTCGCCGCCGCCGTCAACGCCGACGGCGTCGCCGTCACCGCCGCCGCCCCTGGAAGGACACCGGTGCCTGCGGAGGGTGGCAGACGCTTGCGCGCGAGGCGGCGCCGCGGCCGCGGCCGGAAGTCCTTGTGGCACTTTTCCCACTTCTCCGAGGAGGCAAGACGAGGCAGGAGGAGGCAACATGAGACAGGAGGACGAGGCAGAGGAGGTGGAGGAGGATGAGGATGAGGAGGAGGAGGAGGCAGCAGCAGGAGGTCTAGAGGAGGAGGAGAAAGAGGAGGAGGAGGAGGAAACAGGAGCAGGTGGCACGAGGAGGCAGCACGAGGAGGCAAGAGGCAGGATGATGAGGTCGGACGCTTTTGGCCCTTGCTGGGCTTTTGGAGGCCTCCGAAAATTTCAAGAGGCCTCTGGGGACCTCTCGAAGCCTCTGGGGACCTTCGGAGGCTTGTGGAGGCCTCCGCATGGATAGCATAGCTCCAGAGGAAGATGGGGGGGAAGACAGAGGGAGGAGCGAGGTGTGAGGAGGAGTTGGAGACGGGATGATGGGGGGGGGGGTCGTGGGAGGCAGAAGAGGTATGGACAAGATGGGGAGGAGAAGGACGATGAGGAGCAGAAGTCTCGAAGGTGGGTGGGGGAGAGGAGAGGTCTCCAGAGGACCCTCGGGTGCGCAGAGGCTTCTGGTGGCTTCCTTGAGGCCTCACGGGCGGCCAATAACTTTGATCCTCCTTCCTGTCCCCCCCGCCCAGAGGGTGAGGATGGGAGGAGGAGGAGGATGAGGAGGAGGACCACTGCAAACCACAGACTCATCAGCGATGTTGCAAAAAAACCTCCCTCCAAGCTTCCTCTTCAGATGCCCTTACAGTGATTCAGTTTCACTGAGGGAGGTGCCCCATTGGGAGACAACCGTTTGAAGATTCTGAAACTACCAAAACACCATTCTCGGAACTCCAACGCCACGACTCAACATGACCGCTGCGTTTTGACGGTCTGAATTCTGCCAGAACGTCGTTCTTGGGACTTCGCCACAGCGAATGCACGTATTTGTGGCGCCCTGACAATCCTGAATCCTTCCCAATCAACACTCCTGGTGCGTTTACCCACGTGAAACTCCTACAAGTTGGTTTAAACGAGAGTGCGGGGCGCTAAGGCGATTTCCACATTTTCAAAATGAACCGCGCTCATTCCAAGAAGCCCTTGCAATGTTGTAAGTCGGGTGTGCGCGGCGCTACGGCGAGGGCCACATTTTGAAAACGACCCGCCCTCAGTCCGTGAAGTTCTGGCAGCAACTTCTGACGATAAAATGCGCGCGGCGCTAAGGCGAGAGCCACATTTTGAAAACCACCCGACCTCAATCCGTGAAACTCTTGCAGTTTCTAAGAGCGAATATACGCGGCGCTCAGGCGAGAGTCATAGTTTGGAAACTGCAGGCCCACCATCTGTGAAATTGTTGCCATGTTTAAGCGTGACGCTCATATATGGCTCGGATGGCTCAGGCGAAACGCTTGGCCCGCCCTTCCGACTGGCCTCGGGGTGCGTTGGGCAGGCTTATAAGGGAAGGAACGGAAAAGGAGAAGGAGGACGAGGAGGAGGAGGAGGAGGGGGAGGAGAACCAGTGCAAACCTAAGAGCCATCAGCGATGTTGGAATAAACCCACCCTCCAAGCTCCTTCTGCACAGGCCCCTATAACGGTTCATTTCCATTCAGGGAACTGCCTCGTTGGAGGACAACTTTGTGAAGACCCTGCGGCGCTAAGGCGAGAACCACATTTGGAAAACCACTCGCACTGAATCCGTGATATTTTTGCAGTTTTGAATGTGCGCGGCGCTAAGGCGAGAGCCACATTTTTAAAACGACTCGCCCTCAATCCGCGAAAATCTGGAATTTGTTTAAATGGATGTGCGCGGCGCTAAGGCGAGAGCCACATGTTGAAAACGACCCGCCGTCCATCTGTGAAACCGTTGTCAATTTTTCCAGCTTCAGAGTCATAACTGGTGAGGAAATCTCAGGCGAAACGCCCGGCCCGCACTAAAAACTTGCTTCGGTGTGCGACAGGGAGAAGTTATTCATAAGGAACTGGAGGAGGAGGATGAGGAGGAGGAGGAGAAGGAGGAGGAGGAGGAGGAGAATATCGGCGTCGGCGTCGTCGTCGTCGCGGTGTCTCTCTTTGCACCACGCGAGGTGACGCTGCAGAACAACTCCTACGGCGTTGCGTGCCCCGCCCTGCGGCGCAGCGGGAGGTGCGGCCAGGCGGCGCGGCCGCGGGGGCAGCCCGTCGACGGTGCTGGCGGCGACTCCGACGACGAGGGGTGGGGCTTTGGTAGGGCTCCGGGCCGCGCGCAGGCAGCCGCCAGGTAAGCCCAGCTGGCCTCAGCGGGCCCCCCCCGAGCAGGCCCAGGTGGTCTCAACGCGCTCCAGCCCTGGGGCGCCGAGCGCTCCCGGGGCGCCGCCAGAGTCGGCGCCAGGATGTTGAGATCGCCCCGGGCCCCGCTTGGGGGGGCCGTGGAGGCCAGCTGTGGCAACGTTGGGGGGGGGGGGCTGTCTCGTGCGCAACCCGGGACCTTACCGCTGGGGCTCCGATGGGGGCCGCACCGCCGCGGCCGGATCCGCCTCGGAATCCTGGTCAGGGCGCGCCCCAGGAGAGGTCTGCAGCTCGAACCTGGGATCCCGCACCTCTCCTCCTCCTCCCCCTGCTCCTCCTCCTCCTCCTCCTCCTCCTCCTCCTCCTCCTCCTCCTCCTTCTTTTTCTCCTTCGGCGGCCACTCTCGCTCCCGAGTGGGATTTGTTTGCCGGGGCGCAGCCCAATTCTTGCCCGGTCAGCTGCTCTGCCACGTCGCCGCGTTCGCCCACGTTGCGGCGTGCGCTTGCCGGAGTCACTGGTGGCCTGTCCGCTCGTTCCCTTTGCTTCCCTCCCCCTTCTCGAAAATTGTTCCGCGAACAGAAAACACGTTGCGACGCGCGCTTGCTGGAGCCATTGGTGGCCTGTCCGCTTTCGTTCCCTTTGCTTCCCTCCTCCTTCTCCACGATTGCGCTGCGACAGAAATCAATGCCCCTCGCCGAGTTCCCCCTCGAGCCCTCGACCTCTCTCCGTTGTGAGCAGCTGCCGGTCCCACCATCAGACGTCTCACGGCGGATCGGACCGGGCGTCTCGTTTTGCTCCTCGCAGTTTCAGGCCATTTCGATTACACGTAAGAGTGACCTTTCGCCGGAGTGACCTTTGGTGCGGACCCAACGGGGTCCCCCGATCGCTGCACGCGCAGCGGTAGCAGCGGCTTGCGCGCCCGGGTTTGGTCATTCCGTGTCCCCCCGGAAGTCGCGCGCCAAAGGTCACTCTTGCCTAGGGTCTTACGTGCAGCCAAGTAATTACGATCACGGAGCCTGAGGCTCCTAGCGTTTACGGTTGGGAAGTTTGGCGTGCAGTCAGGGCCACTTACGTTTCAGGAGGGGCTAGGATTTTCGGGCCGTTCCTTAGATCTAGGTCCCGGAACCTGTTCATGGCCCGCGGCCCGTGGCCGAGTCTCGCTGTGGCCAGCGCTCCCGTTCCTCATTTAGTGGTGCGTGTGGTTGCACGATGGCTGTATAGTGTCACTCCGGGTCTGGCACACCACGCTTTGGTCGCGATGCGCCAACCACGTCCCTAGTCCCAGGCATCAGCGGTCCGACCCGGAACCCTTCCCAATCTCCCGCCACGCGGGGCGGAGCGACACGCTATCCACTTGCAGCAGGGCGTCGCGTATCGCCGGGGCCACCGCATCGACACGCTGCGCATAAGTTGTCTGACCGTAAACGGATGGAGAGCGAGTTCAAATTGTATCTCTCGCTCTCGCCGTAGCGCAGCGCACATCCGTTTGAAAAGCTCCCACCGACTAACAGTGGGGGTGTTTTTGGAAATGTTGCTCCAGCCCTTGGCGCCGCGAACAGTCGTTCTAAAAGCTCACGTCCGTCACAGAGGACTCGCAATTGGGCTTTCGCATGGGACGTCATGCTATGTCGCGGCACGAAATTAGGTGGTGCAACAGCGACACGGATGGAAGGCGGCTCCGTTTCAACATTATGTGTTGCTGGACCTTTCCATATGCTTACTTATCCAGCTGCCTGCGGCAAGCCTCGCCATCTTGCCAGCCCAGCACAGGAGGCCGTAACGTGTGACACGCGACACCTCGTGTCCCGAGACTTGGGAGAGTTGTGACATGTCACACAATCTTCCACACCGTATCGGGGTTCTCTTCTCGTCTTCGTCGCCTTCCTCCTTTTCTTGCGTTATCTCTTGGGCTCCTGTAGGGCACTCATGGGATTCACTTGCGCCATTGGGCAGCCTTGGGGCCGTCTTGAGATTGTCTTGGGCAGGCTGTGGACCTTATTTGCCGTCTTGAGCAGTCGAGGGTTTCCCTACTGACCGTAAGGCCGTCTTGGGTCCCTTCGGAGGCCCTCTTGGGCCAGCGCGGTGCTCGCTGAGGGCCGTCCCGGGCGGGCCAGGGGCCCAAGCGGGCTATGTTGAGGCCTTCTTTGGGGATTCGGTATTTCGCCAGTTGGGGGCCGTCTTGGGTCCATCTTGACGGCCTCCAGGGCCGCCTGGAGCTGCAGGAGGCCCGAAGGGGTAAAGAGGCCCAAATCTTTGAAACACAGACGGTGCCTCAATGATATTCCGTCTTGAGCCCATCTTGGGCCGCCTGGGGGGGCATCACGGGCCGTCTCGAAGGCATCTTGGGCCCTCTTGGCGACCGTGGTTGCCTGCCTCAGCCGTCTCGGAAGCTCGGGCCCGTGAACGGCCCAGGAAAGTGCGCTTGTTCGATAGGCGGCCCATCGCAGACCTGCCAGTGATGTATCGCCGATTCCAAAAGATTGTTCCCCCCATCGGCTCCCCTCAAGCTGGCATCCAGCGTGCGCAGGCGTGTAAGTCATGATGTAGGCGGGCGATGGCATTCGCCGGGCTGCGCGCCTCACTCCTTGCCTCCCTCCTTCCTGGCTCCTGGCCTCTTCCCCCCTACGCCTTCCCCCGTCACCGCCTTGCTCCTGTGGTGTTCTCTCCCCGGAGTCTGCAGGCTCTCGGGGCCCGAGCCTGTCCAGTGCTGATGTCCAGAACGAGTGGGTTCTGTGACCTCTCCCTGTCTCTCTCCCTCCCTGTCTCCCTGTCTCTCTCTCTCTCTCTCTCTTTCTCTCTCACAGGCGGTGAGCCTGTCAGATGTTTCCAGCGCGTGCTGTGGTTCCACGCGAAGCGGTGTTCATCTGACTGTCATACTACGCCGCGAAGCGGCCCTCCACCGCACGCGTCGGCATGCTCATTGTAGCCGCCGCGAGTGTGCACGCCAACTCTTGTCGCGTGTGCTCGTGGAGCCCTCTGTGGCTCGCCTGCCCGCTCTGGCTGCAGTGTTGTTCGAGACTGGCCTTAAGTCGGGCCTGTCCCTGCACAGGAGGAATATGCAAAAATAGTCCACCAATACTCTGGGGACGACGCTTGAACAATTTTTGTTGTATACTTTGTTTTGACTATATCATTTTTTCGTAAAAAAATCAGCCTGTAGGAGGACATGCCCGACCTAAGACTGGCCTCTTACGCCTGGCAATATTCAGGCGATCGCAAACATGGATCAAGGGGGCGTGGATTAGCGACGGGTCCCGTTTCCATGGGAAATCGCGGGGTTCCGCCGCCGAACGCGGCGGCACCGGCCGCATTTTGGGGAGGGCACCTCCCCTGATCCATAGATTTGGCGACCGCGCCCCAAATCCATGGATCGCTAATCCATGTTTGCGCGCCTCCCAAATATGAACCAGCATGCGTGTACGCGCCCGCTTTTGTCACGCGTCGCTCCGCCGGGCATCCCAGGAGCTGACGAAAGCGGCGACAGTCAACGGGTGAGCAGTGCCGAGGAGGGCGAGATGCAGTCTGGATCTGCGTAGCTTGTCCCTCCGCTTCGCCCCCCTCCCAGGAGCTCACGAAAGCGGCCACAGTTGTGCAGTTGGCAGCACTCAGGAAGGGCAAGGCAGGAGGGAGGAGGGAAGAGCAAGAGGATGAAAAGGAGGAGGAGGAGGAGGTTGAGGAGGAGGAGGAGGAGGAGGTGAAGCAGGAGCTGAAAGAGAGTCCCTGGAGCAGGAGCTGAAGGAGAGTCCCTGGTGGCCTCCATTGCACTCTCGGGTCCAGAGCTTCGATCTTGCAGGAGAGGGCTGGGTTGAGCCAGGGTTGAGCGCGCCGCATCTCCTGGGGGTGGGGTGGGGCAGGGCGCATCGCGGCTGCAGCGGTGCGGCGGCGCCCATTTTCAAACGCGCTTTGCCAGCCCTCCATCGAAAAACAACAAATTGCACAAACATAAACTTCTGGCGGTCCGCGCGGATTTCTTGGATCTGCGCTGGGACCCCCTGGCGGCGCCTCCGGCTCCGCCCCTGGTGTGCTCCGCGCGCCAGGGAGGGCTGGCCAGCGCGGATCCCAGAAATCCGCGCGGACCTCCAATTTTGCATGCTTCCTCGAAGGGGGAGACGGCACCAGCGGGGGAGAGGGGGGAGCCAAGCACAGCAGCTGGGACACAAAGGAAGGGCGAGGGAGCGGACGACGATGCTTGCGTACGCGTGGACCACCCAAAGTGTATGCTTGTGCCGTGTCCTGTTTCGGAGGCCTGGAGGTTGTCAACAACACCGAGATCGGCGCGGTGCCTTCACCGAGGAAGATGCCCCTGATCTCGGCGATGGCGGTAGTAGATTCGGGACTCCTACGTGGCCGAACTTTTCTTTCACGACCGCCAGAATCTGGGATCGTCCACGCTCCTGTGTAGGCCCCCCCCCCCCCCTGTGTTGGTGGTGGTGCCCCTTCCCAGGCCTCCACCTGCGCCCCCGCTCCAGCGAGGCGGGGAGGTCGGCTGCGTCACCCCAAGACACTTATACCATATGTGCGTCGCCCCCCCCAGGGGCGACGCGCGCACCGAGAAATCTTATGGTATATGCGTCGTGGCGGGCGCTTTCTGGCCACACCGCTGGGGAAACGATCTACTGCAAGATGGGCATACTATGTGTTCGGGTCGGACGCGCGCCTCCCAGGTGGACGTGCAGTACTAGAACGTCTCTGCGCGTCCCAAGGCTGGGTCGCCCACAGCCAGGGCCGCGAGCGCGCCTTTCGCGCGCCTCGCGCGCCAGGGTCTGTGCCTGGGCGCCGCGCGCTCCGCGGAGGAGGCGCGGAGGGGCGCGAGGCCGAAGGCGTTCGCGCCTCTCCGCGGGGGCGAAGGCGCGCGGGGGCGGACGCCCAGAGCCCGTGGAGGGCCTCCTCCTCCTCCTCCTCCTCCTCCTCCTCCTCCTTCTCCTCCTCCTCCTCCTCGTCCATCTCCTCCTCCTCCTCCTCCTCCACAATTACACAATATGAATATACTCTCCCACTTCCCCTGATGGCGTCCCGAAGATATCCGACCCCCCCCCCCGCGTATTGTTTTTTTACACACAGGATTCCCGGGAAACGGGTTTTCGCGTGCGTTTGTTTCCAAAATGCTGCTCTCGCTGAGGCGCCGGCCTCATTTCTGCTCCCGAATCGTTCCGAATCGTGCTCCCGCTGCAGCGTGGGCCTCATTTTCGGATCGGTGTTTGGCCTCCGTCGTTCAGGATGGCGTTCTCGCCCCAGCGCGGGCCTCTTTCTCGCGCGCCCATCCGCCCGCCACCACCGCGCCGCCCACCACCACCACCACCACCACCACCACCACCACCACCACCACCCCCACCACCACCACCACCACCACCACCACCACCACCACCACCACCACCACCACACCAGCACCAGCACCAGCAACACCACCACCAGCACCACACCACCACCACCAGCACCACCACCACCACCACCACCACCACCACCACCACCACCACCACGACAAAACCACGCACCACACGCACGCACGCACGCACGCGCACCACCACCCACTACGCACGCGCGCGCGGAGCCACAGGTCCGCTACGACACGCGTCCGCGGATAGAGAAAATCAGCACCATGGTAAGGGATGGGAGGGAGGGGTAGGACGTCAGATATGACGCGAGTGCACCCAGCCTTGGTACCTCTCCACACCAGACCACTTGCTCCCTCCCTCCTCCCTCTCCTCCTCCTCCTCCTCCTCCTTCTCCTCCTCCTCTCCTCCCGCCTCCTTCCCTCCTCCCCCCTCTCCTCTCCTCCGCCTCCTTCCTCCTCTTCCTCCCTCCACCTCCTTCCTCCTCTTCCTTTCCTCATTCTCCTCCCTCCTACTCCTTCTCCTCCTCATCCTCCTCCTACTCCCTCCTCCTCCTCCTCCTCCTCCTCCTCCTCCTCCCCCTCCCCCTCCTCCCCCTCCTCCTCCCCCTCCCCCTCCCCTTCCTTCTCCCCCCCTCCCTCCGGGAAGGGGCAAGGGCTGGGCTCGAGCGAAACGGTGTTTGGGCGATCTCGTCGGCCGTTCTCGCTCCGATGTGTTGTTTTAGGAGACGGTTTTGCTCTTGGCCGCCGAGGGCGCAACCTAGCAACCTATGGAGCAACCTATGGCGCATCCTAGGTTCCAGAAGAAGGAGGATGAGCAGGAGGAGGAAGAGGAGAAACGAGGACGAGGGCTTAGATGAGGACGACGAGGAGGAGCTGGAGCAGAAGGACGACGAATAAGACGAGGAGCATGAGGAGGAGGAGGAGGAGGAAGACGCGGAGGACGACGACGACGACGACGATCAGGATTGGGAGGAGGACGGGGAGGAATGCGAGCAGCACGAGGACGAAGTGTGGGCATTCGAATGCGTGCGGGGCTACGCCCGATTCATGCTCGCCGTTTGGGCTGGGGGTGGGGCCCAAGCGGCGAGCTGTCTTGTGATTTGGTCTCGCAGCAGAGGCAGAACGAGGAGACGGAACGAAGGACAACGAGCACAACACGACAGCGCAAAACACGGTTTCGCTCGAGCCCTGGGCAGGGGTGCGTGGCTGGGGCGGTGGGCCCCTGCGAGGAGTTTCCGCCGGTCGTTTGGAGGACGTGCTGCTGGACTCCCGGGGCCCAGTCTGTTTCAAGCGCCTTCCTCCCTCGAGGGTCGGTATGGGCTTCTGCCGCCCTTGCTGTTCCCTGGGCGGGCCCCAGCCCGATCTATACGTCATCCGCCTCCCTGGCTCATGCGTCTGCCGGGTTCTTCCGGCCGGCGCGTCGTTCAGAACAGGCGCGAGGAGAGCGGCTGCGAGGCCGGGTGGCCAATGGGCCCCCCCGAGGTCATGTGCCCCGTCGACTGCGCCATGTCCGAGTGGTCGGGCTTCTCGGAGTGCAGCAAGGCCTGCACGCGCGTCGGGGCGACGGGCGAGAGAGGAGGGAGGGAGGAGGGTTGGGCACTTGCACTGGGGAGGAGGGAGGGAGGAGGAGGGAGGGGGCGAGGAGGAGGAGGGGGGAGGCAGGAGGGCGAGGGAGGAGGGAGCAGGGGGAGAGGAGGAGGGGGAGGAGGCGAAGCAGGGACGGTGAGCAGGCGTAGGGTTCTGTGAGCTCCGGCGCTTCCTCGCCGCTGGCTTATGGGGTCTCTTTGCGCCGGCGCGAGGGCGAGGCAGCAGAGAGAGTTAGGGAGAAGGAGAGAGATAGAAACAACAATTAATCACAGCATCTATCTCATTGAGTGTATATACACATGTACCTACACATGCCATAGACATGTAAGCATCTTCATCTTCATACATAGAGAGAAATCAGAGTTATAGAGAGAGAGTAAAAAGTAAGAGGCAGAGAGGGGCAGGTCCGTTTCAACACGAGGGATCGCCCGGGAGACTGGGGTCGGGCCAGGGCTCGGGCAAGACGAGAACTGACCCGCGCCGGTGAACTGCAGCAAGGGTTCTCTTAACCGTGACATCGAAATCTTAATTGAGAGTTTCAAAACATGTGTAGTGCTTGCTACGTAGTGTTTTGTTGGTCGTTGTCCACTGTGCTTTTGAATGTTTTCTACGTCGTGTTTTTTGTTTACGTAGTGGTTGTGTTTATGTATGGTTTTTGAAATAATGTTGTTTTACGCCGTGTGTTGTTTTACGTAGTGTTTGTAGTTTTTCTACGTCGTGCTTTGTTTTTATTATACGCAGTGTTTTTGTACGTAGCCATTGTTTACGCTGTGTTGTTCTACCTCTTTCCCCTCTACCTCTTCCTCCTCCACCTCTTCCTCCTACCTTTTCCTCCTCTACCTCTTCCTCCTCGACCTCTTCCTCCTCTACCCCTTCCTCTTCTACCCCTTCCTTCTCGACCTCTTCCTCCTCTACATCTTCCACCTCTACCTCTTCCTCCTCGACCTCTTCCTCCTCTATAGTTTCCTCCCTTACCTTTTCCTCGACCTCTTCCTCCTCGACCTCTTCCTCTGTCACCTTTTCCTCCTCTACCTCTTCCTCCTCTACCTTTTCCCCCTCTACCTATCCCTCCTCTACCCCTTCCCGCTCTACCTCTTGCTCCTCTACCTCTGCCTCTACCTCTTCCTCCTCCTACCTCTTCCCCCTCTACCTTCCTTTTTATCATCTACCTTTTCCTCCTCCACCTTTTCCTCCTCTACCTCTCCCTCCTTTGCCTCTACCTCTTCCTTCTTTGCTTATACCTCTTCCTCCTTTGCCTCTACTTCTTCCTCCTTTGCCTCTACCTCGTCCTTCTCTACCTCTTTCTCCTTTGCTTCTACCTCTTCCTCCTTTGCGTCTACCTCTTCCTCCTTTGCCTCTACCCCTCCCTCCTCTACATCTTCCTCCTCTGCCTCTACCTCTTCCTGCTCTGCCGCTTCCTCCTCCACCTCTGCCTCCTCTATGTCTACCTCTTCCTCCTCTACCTCTTCTTCCTTTTCCCCGTGTGCCTCAACCTCGTCCTCCTCTACACCTTCCTGCTCTACATCGTCCTCCTTTCTCCTCCCAGTTCCTCCCTCTCCTGGTTCCTCCTCCTCGTCCTCCTCCTCCTCCTGGTTCCTCCTCGTGGTGTTGTTTGCGTGGTGTATCCTGCGTGGCGTTTCCTGCGTGGCGGTTCTTGCGCGGTGTTTATTGCCTGGTTGTTTTGCTGTATGCTTCCTGCGTGGCGGTTCCTGCTTTGTGTTTCCACCGTGGTTGTTCCTGCTCTGGCAGTGTGTTTTTGTCACGGCGTGCGTTTTCGTGTTTACGCATTGTGTCTTTATACAAGAAACAACTTAGTGTTTTTTGTTTACGCCGTGTTTGTTTTCACCCCGTGTTTGTTTGAAGTGGTTTGTTTAAGTTTTTGGTTTGTGCAAAAAAGGAGTGTAGTAGTAACGTCGCGTGTTCCTGTGCAGTGTTTTCTAGTAACTTGTTTTCTGCGTGTTGTCTTCTGCGCGACGGTTCCCTTCGGGTCTATTTACGCAGTTGTTTTGTTACGCAGTGTTTTTGCTACGCAATATTGTTTACGCAATATGTGTTTGTACGCCGTGCTTTATGTAAACGGGGACGTGGTTGTTAACGCTATCTGTGTGGTTCTGTCTACGCAGTGTTTTTTTGACGCCGTGGTTTACGCAAGTTGTTCTTTTAAAGGAACCACAGCTGTGTTACGCGGCGTTGGTTTTGTCGGTGGAGAGTGTGGTTTACGCAGTGTTGTTTTTACGCCGTGATTGTTTGTTTGCGTAGTGTGTTAACGCCGTGGTCTATGCAGTGTTTTTAACGGAGTGTAGCAAAGTCGCGCGTTCCCCGTGGGGTGTGTTTACGCAGTTTTACTTGTTCGGGAGCGTGTTTCACGCAGTGTTTCGTACGGCGTGTTCGTTTTTCGCAGTGTTCTTACGGAGTGTGTGCGTCGCATGTTCTTGTGAAGCGTGCTTGTTTGTGTCGCATAGCTTGTCCTTCGTTGCAGTTCCGTGTGAGTTGTTGTTTACGTTGTGTTTTCTTTTCGTGTGGTTGTGTTCCGTGCTTTTTTTAACGTAGTGTGTTCTGGTTTGTCCACGCAGCGTTTTTTTTACGCAGTGGTACGCAATGTTTTAGTCAGTTTGGTGTAGGGGGTGTAAGAATGTCGTGTCTTATTGTGCAGCGTGTCTTGCATACGTTCTGCGTATGATTTTCTGCGCGGTGTTCCACCTCGCGGTCTGTATACGCAATATATAGAAAACGCGCAAAACCTAGAGTTGTTACGTAGCCCTTTTATATTAAGAAAACAGTTTCTTATATATATATATATATATATATATATGTATACGTACACATATACAAACGCAGAGTTTCGCGCAAGGTTTTTTACTCATGCATCTGCTTTCACGTGGTGTTCTTGCACAGCGTTTGTTGTTTAGGCCGTGTCGTTAACGTAGTGTTGTTTGTACGCATTGTGGTTTTACGTAGTTGGTTCCGTAGTTGTTCAGCAGTTTTTTTTTGTTTTTGTTTCTTCTACGGGGTGTATCAACGTCGCGTGTTTCTCCGTGCGGTTTGTTTACGCAGTGTGTATTTTACGCAGTGGTTTTACGTTTGTGTGTCCGCCGTGTTCTTACGGAATGTGATGTGCGTGCTATGTTTTTGTGAAACGTGTTTGTGTTTTTATGTCTCGTCTTGTTTTCTTGGTGGCAGTTCTTTGCGCTCTGTTCTTTAAGTCGTGTTTTTACGCAGTGTGTTTTGTTGCACGTGGTGTTTTTAACGCGGCGTTTTTTTTACGCAGTGTGTTACGCAGTATCTGATTCAGTTGTTTTTGTACGGCGTGTAGTAATGTCGCGTGTTCTTGTGACGTGTTTCTTGCATATTGTTTGCTATGGTTTTTCCTGCACGGTGTTCCCCCTCGCGGTATGTATACGCAGATTGTTATATTGGATATATATATATATACATGTATGGATGTGCGTCTCTCGCAGAGTTGTTAAAGCATTTTGCCTGGCAGTTGTTGTTATTGTTTGTCTTGTTATTACCATTGTTCCCTACCTAGGCTCTGCCTAGAAGGGTTCTTACCCTATATGCTTAGAAGGGGTCGGGCAGTGGTCCTCGCCCCGGGCAGTTCCCCCAGGATCCGCCCCGCGGTTCCCCCAGTGACGTTCCTTTAGCTGGGCGTTGCTTATCTCATCTTAGCTTACCTTATTTCATCTTAGCTTAGCTTATTTCATCCTAGCTCAGGTTTATCTTAGCTTAGCTTACCTTCATCTTAGCTTCGCCGAGTTTTAGCATAGCACAGCACAGCATAGCATAGCAGAGCGTAGCACAGCGCAGCGCAGCACAGCATATCATAGCATAACATAGCATAGCATAGCATAGCGTAGCATAGCGCAGCATAGCATATCATAGCATAGGATAGCATAGCATAGCATAGCGCAGCATAGCATGGCATCGCATAGCATAGCATATCATAGCAACTAATGCTGCTGTCCTAGGGGCTCCAACTTCTATGTAGGGTCGCACTGGGGTAATTTTACACATAAACGTCTATATACATAAATGTGTATGTAGTTTCACATGTATGGCTGTATGTATGCATATACACGTATATACGTGTATATACACATAGGCAGTGTGTTTACGCAGTGCAGTGTTTGTTGCGTAGCGTTGTGTACGCACACGTCGCAATTCACGTTGTGTTTCACGCAGTGTTTTTCACGGAGTGTAGCAGCGCCGCGGGTTTTCCCGTGAGGTCTATTTACGCATTGTTTTTGTTGGTTGTTTTCTGAAAGGTGTATTGCGCAGTGTCGTTGTTGTTTACGCCGTGTTTTCATCGCAGTGTTATTACTGAGTGTGGTGTGCGCCGCATGTTCTTGTGAAGCCAGAGGACACATCAGTCAAGACAAGGTCCAGCAAGTTGTTCCCTCTCGGTTTCCGAACTTTTTTTCCTGTAGCCCAATGCGGTTGCAAATGTCGAGCAGGACCCTCTCCTCATTGGATACACCTTGTGAGGAAAAATGCAACCACAAACTGTGATGAACGTTCATGTCACCCATGACGATGGTGCCCACAACCTGCTGCTGGTAATCGCGCCACTCCGTCAGTAGAGAGTGAATGGTGTCGACATCTCCCTGCTCAGGAGGCTGGTACCAAACAGCCAACAAAATTGGACCAATACTCGTGTGGACAACGTGCCACGACCGCTCGGCATTTAAGAGAATCACCAACATGGACGACGCAGTGCTTGAAAGACTCACTTGCGAAAAGAACTATGCCGCCACCTTGTCTGCCGTTGCGGCTGTCGAGTCGTGATGCAACCGTGTAGCCATGCAACACAGCATCGGTAACAGACCCGTCCAGCAAACTCTCCGTGATTGTCACGAGATCGGAAAATTGCAAAAGTTCAAGTCGACCCCGAAGTTCGGCATGGTGTGAAAGAAAACCGCGCGAATTCACAAGCACCGTGGAAAAATAATGTTCTGGATCTGGCGAATCGGGCTCGGATTTGCACGAGCTTTCGCCAGGAGGGCGCTGACGACCCGAATTCTGAAGCCAATGGTGGCGCCGAATGTGACGTGCAAGAACAGACCGAGGACCTCGACGTCGTTGGAGTCGGGGTGTCAGCTGTGGGGGCCGCTCATCTGCCAGAGACCAGCGGGCGTGCCAAGGGACGTGAACATTATGCGAATGTGGAGGGGTACGTTGATGATGAGCGGCCCCGAGTAATCCCTACGGGATGACAAGGTCCGCGAATGGCTGAAGGAATGCCCCTTTGACGTCGTTTTCCTCCTGCTTGAATGCGGCGGTGCCGTTTACAGACACAAGCCGACTCCGAGAACCGTCGATTTTCCACTCGATCTTGACCTCCATGCCGGAGGCCAAAGTAGAGGCTTTGATCAATTCTTGGGCCTTTCGCATCGCATAGTTCCGCTTGCGTTGCAATTCCGTGCGGGCGGGCTTAAGTATCAATTTCTTGTTGCCAACGTTGAGCTCAGTGCTGGACAACGACACGTT